CCAAGCTGTCAGCACAGAGCCTGCAACAGGGCTCCAACCTGTTAACTTGGAGGGAGATCATGACCTGAGCTGAAGTCAGAGACTCAACTGACTGAGCGACCCAGGTGTCCCTTGTTTTTAATTTTTTAATTTTAATTTTTTTATTTCATTTTTTTTTTCCTTCCATCTTCTTCCAAGATGACAAAATGAAGGAATTCAACCCCCCAAAAAGAACAGGAAGAAATGACAGCCAGGGGATTAATCAACACAGATATAAGCAATATTTCTGAACTAGAATTTAGAACCGCAATAATAAAAATGCTATCTGGGGTTTAAGAAAGCATAGAATCCCTTTCTGGGGAGATAAAAGACAAAAAATCTAATCAGGACAAAATTTAAAAATGCTATAACTGAGATGCAATCTTGAATAGATGCTACAACAGCAAGGATGGACAAAGCAGAGCAGCAAACCAGCAATATAGAAGACAAAATTATGGAAAATAGCGAAGCAGAAAAAAAGAGGGAAACAAAGGCAAAAGAGCACAATACAAGACTCAGAGAACTCAGTGACTTATTAAAAAGGAATAACATCTGAATCATAGGAGTCCCAGAAGAGGAAGAGAGAGAAAAAAGGGCAGAAGCTTTATGTGAACAAATTATAGGGGAAAACTTTCCTAATCTGGGGAAAGACACAGACATCAAAATCCAAGAAGCACAGAGAACTCCCATGAGATTGAGTAAAAACCGACCATCGCCAAAGCATATCATAGTCAAATTCACAAAATACACAGACAAGGAAAGAATTATGAAAGAAGCGAGGGGAAAAAAAAGTCCTTACCTTATATGTAAGGTAAGGGCTAAATGGGCAAGGGTCAGTAAGGAGGACACTCGATGGGATGAGCACGGGGTGTTATATGTAAGGGATTCTATTCCCGAAATCATTATTACACTACATGTTAATTAACTTGGATTTCCATTTTGAAAAATTGAATATAAAAAAAGGTTTCAAACCATACTGAAAGACAAGAGCAGTCTCAAGAGACTGAACAAGCATCAGAACCAGAGTCAGATACGACAAGGACGTTGGAATCATCAGCCCAGGAATTAAAAAAGACCTATGACTGGGGGCGCCTGGGTGGCGCAGTCGGTTAAGCGTCCGACTTCAGCCAGGTCACGATCTCGCGGTCCGGGAGTTCGAGCCCCGCGTCGGGCTCTGGGCTGATGGCTCGGAGCCTGGAGCCTGTTTCCGATTCTGTGTCTCCCTCTCTCTCTGCCCCTCCCCCGTTCATGCTCTGTCTCTCTCTGTCCCAAAAATAAATAAACGTTGAAAAAAAATTAAAAACAAACAAACAAACAAACAAACAAGGACAAACGTAAGAATCATATCTGACCTCTCAGAAACCACGTAAGCAAGAAGAAAGCAGAGTGAAATTGTGTTGAGTGCGTGGCGGGGGGGACAAAGGGATGGATGGGAACCGTGTGTATTTCTCGCTCAGTTTTTGCTGTGAACCGTTCTAGAAAATGACGTTCGTTAATTAAAAAAAAACTAGGTACACAGCGAACGATTATGACCGTGAATATTCAGAATCCTACAAGCCAGTAAGACAAAAGAAAAGTGACACAACAGAAAACCATGCCCATCGTGTCAATTTCCTAAAACCGGTATAACCAATTACACAAACTTGGAAGCTTAGAAACCAGATATTCATTCTCTCACAGCTCTGGAGGTCAGAAATCTGAAATCCAGCTGTGCCAGGACCACGCTCCCTGCACCGTCTCTAGGGGGAGGGTCCTTCCTTACCTCTTCCAACTTTGGGGCTCCAGGCGCTCCTTGGCTCATGGCTGCATTACCCCAATCTCTGCCTCATAGTCGTATGGCCTCCTCCTCTTCTATTCCAAATCTCTTTCTTCCTCTTACGGGGATGTGTCATCGGATTTAGGGCTCCCTTGGACAATCCGGGATGGTCTTCTCTTGAGACCCTTAACTTAATTCCATCGGTAAAGACCCTTTTTCCACATAAGGCTACACTCACAGACTCCCAAGGTTAGGGCATGGACATACGTGTTTTGGGGGTGGGGAGGGCACCATTCAACCCCACTGCACTCATTGGCCAAAAGCAAAATGCCAACTGTTGGAGAGGAGAGGGGGCAAGGGGAACTTGGGTACAGTGTTAGGGGAATTTCCATCAGTCAGTCTCTTTGGAGGCAACATCCAGGTCATGTGTAGCAAATACTTGGGCTAGTCGAAGATGCACATACCATCTACAAGTCTTACTCCCAGATACACACCCAGAGAAAGTTTACAAAGAGATACACCCAGTGTTACTCACAGCAATGTCTGGAATTGCCAAAAAGGGGGCACTCTCTAAACGTCCACCATATTGATTTTGAAAGGTTGCAGTTTGGGCCACAGGAGGCTGTCAGATCTCAATGGAAGGAAGGTCAGGGCCAAACCTCAGAGGCCTCAACCAGAGCTGCTGTTCTGTCCTCAGGGTCGTCACACCCGACCTCCTCGCTCCCCCACTCCGGCCCATGTCACGTCACGGGAAGCACAGAAAAGTCCAGAGGAAATCCGTCCCTCATTCTCCACCTCCGACTCTGCCAGCCCTCACCCCACAACCACGTGCCCTGTCCCTTCTACCTTCCCCACCTGGACCATCCCTATATGCGCCCCTGGATCTCCCCACTCTCAACCCATCCCACCCTTCAGCCATCACCCATTCTTGGCTTCCCCGTGGCCGCGGAACTCCTTGAAAGAATCATCTAGGGTGGTGGCTGTCAGCTGGGGGTGATGGCATCCCTCAGTGGACGCACCGACTCCAAGGTGCTCCTTCCATGTCCCCTGCCTTCCCTCTGCTCGGTCTCACTGATGCACAGCCACGTTGATCCTCCTCTTGTCCTCAGATGTTTATGCTTGCGTCCGTCTGCCTGGAACGGACACTCTTCCCTCCCAGCTGCTGGTGTCCGAGGGCCCGGCTCATCTCACTGAGGGGTCAGCTCAGATACAGCTTCGTCAGAGAGGTGCCCCTGGCCGGCACAGCCTCTGACTGCCCAACACTGTTCCGTCTAGCGTCCCTCTCCAACTTTGAGACTACTGCCCTGTGCAGGGCTAGTTCAAAGCCAGGTCCCATGTGAGGCTCTCTCCTTAAATGCTCAGCAAATATTTGTTGATGATTTCACTACGTTTTCCTGGGAGTCATGATCCATCATTTTCCAGGATGATAAAGCAAGTGGCGATGGCTCCCAAAGACGTGTCCACCTCCTCTGTGAGACGTTACTTTCAAAAAAGTGGCTTTGAGGGTGCCTGGGTGGCTCAGTGAGTTGAGCATCCAACTCTTGATTTCAGCTCAGGTCATGAGCTCACAGTTCGTGGGGTTGAGCCTCACGTTGGGCTCTGTGCCCAACACATTCTCATTCTCTCTCTTTCTGCCCCTCCTCACTCCCAAAATAAGTAAATAAACTTAAAAAAATATCTTTGCAGGGGCGCCTGGGTGGCTCAGTCCGTTAAGCGTCTGACTTCGGCTCAGGCCATGATCTCACGGCCTGTGAGTTCGAGCCCTGCGTCGGGCTCTGTGCTGACGCCTCAGAGCCTGGAGCCTGCTTCGGATTCTGTGTCTCCCTCTCTCTCTGACCCTCCCCTGTTCATGCTCTGTCTCTCTCTGTCTCAAAAATAAATAAACATTTTTTTAAAAATTAAAAAAAAAACCTTGCATATGTGATTAAGATAAGGATCTTGAGAGGAGGAAACCATCCTGGAATGTCTGATGGACCCCGAACTCAATCACAAGTGTCCCAGTAAGAGACAGGCAGGGAGAGATTCAACACTGAGAAGACCCCACGAAGGTAGGAGGTACGTGGCCACAAGCCCAGGGATGTGGGAAGCCACAGAAGGCGGGGGAGGCAGGAAAGGACTCTTTCTAGAACCCCGGGGGGAAGCATGGCCCTGATTTGGGCCTTCTGGCCTCCAGAGACAATAAATTTCTGCTGCCCGCAGTCACCGTGTTTGTGGTCATTTGTTAGAGCAGCCGCAGGAAACTGACAACATGGGGCGGCAAAGGTGTCTTACGAAGGTTTTATCTTACGTTTTGCCAACTGCTGCTGGGGTGCAGCGTTTTGTTATTCGCTTACGAGCTGTTCAGCCTTCATGGTTCAGGTTTGCTTGCTTTTGTTTTGTTTTATTTTAACAGCTTCATTAAGATACAATTCACCCACCCGAAGGCATGAGCCAATGGTTTGGGGTCAGTGGGCGTCCTCAGCTGCCACGTTCCCCCTCCGCTCTACAGTGAGCCTCGCCAGCCCACAGGTCCCCTTCCCGGGCTCATAACAGCACTGACATCCGAGGCTCGGGCCCAGACTCCCGTCTGGGGTTTGTGGCAGGCTGTGGCTCCTGCTTGGCTGACTCCAATCAGAGCCAGGGGATGATCTCAGGGTACACGGTGGGTTCTCACACGTTCTGCCTGGAACCGCTCTCCGCAGCCCTCCGCCGTGGGTGGTCTTGGTCTAATCTTCCCGGGTGATCCTCTCAAGGACCATGACAAGCACTCTTGCGACCTGGAGAGGCTCAGAGAGGTTAAGTAACTTACCCAGGGTCCCACGGTGAATAAGAGAGTAAGTGAACAAAAGAACGAGGTAACCACCCGCAGCTCTACAGGTGTCCCCCTCACCCCCAGTCCAGGCTCTCTCGGCTCACAGCCCCTTCCTCTGCCCTGAGGATGCCAATCAGACACATTAGGAGAGGGGAAATAAAGGGGCTCAATGGCATGAGGTTGGGGGGGGGGGTGTGCAGGGACCTGGGTGGGCCATAAAACCCTGCTGGCTGAGGGCTTCCTGGAGGAGGCAGCATTTCCCACCAGGGTCTCACTGATCTTTTCATCCTAAAGCCCCCTGGGGGATTTGTCTCCTTCTCACGCAACTCCCTGCCAGCACACTCAGAGTGGCCCGGAGTTGCCAGACCTGTTCTCTAAACAAATGCAGCCAACTCCCAGCCCAGCCTGGGGAGGGGTGTAGGTCTATGAATTAAGAGGCAGCTTCTGCTAGGTCTCCCCCACAGCCGCTCCACTGCGGGGGCTTGGGCACAGGAGTCTGGTAGAAGCCGACAGGCTGCTGGGGCTCCTGGGAGGATTGGCAGACGGCAGAAGCAGGGGTGAGACCGGGCCGAGGAGCAGAATCAGCACACCTGGAGGCAGCATGTCAGGCAAAGAGGACAAAGGTGCAGCGAAGGATCCAGAGTCGGAGCCCACACTGGGGTACGTGGGGCCCTGCGGTCGGGAGCCAGCAGCGCGAGGGAGTGAAATGTGGGGCCACAGGGCCAGGGGTCGGGAGCAGGCTCAGCTCAGGCAGGTGTCACTGCCCTGCTGGTCTGGCCCGGGGGGGGGGGGGGGGGGGGACAGATCCCATTCTTCCCGGAGGAGCTCCCAGGCTGGGGGAGGAGGCAGCATGTGGACAGACTGGGACCAGCCAGGTGTCACCGGGGCTGGGATGGGGATGGCTGGGGAGTCGGGAGACGAGAAGGGGGGAGCTCCTTGGGAGGCGAGGCCAGAGCTGTCTTTGATATAGGGTTGTAAAAGCGACGCTTACTGACATTTCTTTCCGCTTCTGGAAGTATCGCAAGCTTACTACGGAACATCTGCGAGAGGCGGAGAGATGCTAGGAAGTCAATAAAAAAGCCCAGGGTGCACCTTGGTGCAGGGTCTCAGTGCCGGTGGGGTGAGGGGCTAGGGCCACACAGACTGGGACTGAAGCCGCCACACAGCAGCCTCGAGGAGGGCAAATCGGGTGGCCTCTCGGAGCCCCGGTTTCCTCATCCTTCCAACGGCGCAGTAACGAAACCCGCGAGGCTCAAAAGAGACGTCGCACACCAAGCACTCAGCTCCGGGGCACCGGCTGTGTTCCCCGTCTAGCCTGTGTTCTGTGACGTGCCCACTGGCCGCGGGATAAATTGCAGGGCCCTGCCCAGCTGTGTCTTGTTTCTCAAACCCCGGGCACACGCGCGTCCCTCTGCCCAGAACGCGTGCCCCCACGAGAGCCTCCGCCCCTGCCCCTTCCCCGCTGCAGCTGGCTCCCGCTGGTGGGGCCTGTCGCCGGCCTCTTGGAGCCTGTGGCACACCCTTTCACGCTTGGAAATTGCTTTCAGTGCCACCGTTCTGTGTTTGATTTTTTTTAATGTTCATTTTTGAGAGAGAGAGAGAGAGAGAGAGAGAGAGAGACGGAGAGCGCGAGCAAGGGAGGGGCAGAGAGAGAAGGGGAGACCCAGGACCCGAAGCAGGCTCCAGGCTCCGAGCTGTCAGCACAGAGCCCGATGCGGGTGTTCGAACTCACAAACCGTGAGATCAAGATCTGGGCCACCGACTGGGGCCACCCAGGCGCCCCTGTTCTTCTGTGTTTAGACTGCGAGCTCCCGAAGGGCCGACCGAGTCTTCTGCAGTCACCCACATGGTCCGGGCCCGGCCAAAGCCTCCCTGACAAGCAGCCGGGAGTTTCTTGTCAGCAACTCCTGAGGCCTTGCTCCCCTGCAGCAGGGAAGGCACGACAGGGAGGCACCTTGGATGAGAAGCAGGAACCAGCTGGTCAGCTCCAGCCCCACCCCTGGCCTTGCTGCTGACCTCACCCCCCACCCAGCTGTCTGTTTCCTCACTTACTGGGCAACAGTGGGGATGGGGCTGGGGATCTGGCCACCCTTAAGCTGAGTCTGAGATTGTCCCCAGGCACCCCAGGTGTGCACAATGGGGACACAGACAATGACGGCTGAGAAAGGCAGGGAGCTCCTGCCCTGCCTGCCTCACCTGGAAAAGGTACGATGGGCTGGGGCCAGGATCTTGGGGTGGACATCAGGACACCCAGGTGCCATAACTCGTCCCAGACTCCTCCGCTCTGGGCCTCGATTCAGGGCTGAGGCTTTTGACCCTAGAGAGGTACTAGGGAGCCATGGACAAAGTTAGAGCAGGGCTGATAGGGCCAGGAGCTGTTTGAACCCCAGGCAGGGAAAGCTGGGTGAGGGAGGGTGATGCTGGCATTCCAGGCAGAGCTCTGGGACTGAGGGTGGGCAGTGCCGTGGTCCACTCAGGCCTCGCTCCTCCGGGAAGTGCTCAGGAGGAAATGGGGCTCTGCTGTCTGGGGCAGCGGTCTAGGTGGGACGCAGTCCCCCCCCCCCCCCCGCAACCGGGCCTGGCTGTGGGAGGGCATGACCGGGGCCCCCTTCCAGCCCGTGACAAGAACAAGTCTTTACTGAGCAACTACTGTGGACTGTATCCTCTGGACCCTGTGGTCCAGAGCCCCTGTCCCCACGGAAGGGAGTGGACAGTGCCGGGAGTGACGGCCTCACCGCCAGGGGGAGGGAGGCATCTGCAGACCGCCTGGGAGTGTGTGCAGCATCTGTCCCGTCTCCCCGAATTCCCCCGCTGGGACAACCCCCTGAGCTGGGCGCTAGCTGCTTTCCTTGTGTTATGGCTTCCGAGAATAGTAACCGCGGCCGCCGACGTGCGCTGAGGGGTGCACGGCCAGGCCTGTGCTCTGTGCTCCACAGAGGCGGGCTGTTCCCACTTCCCAGATGAGGAGACTGAGGCTCGGAGAGAAGGAGTGACCGGCCTGAGGCCCTGGGAGTGGTGGAGGCACGGATGGGGCCGCCGGCCTGCAGGTGCCCAGGGGAGAGGCTGAGCCCCATCTCCTCCACGGCCAACGCGCTGAGGTCCTGGGCTCCGGCCTGTGAGATGCGGCTGAGGACAGAGGACAGCCCAAGACCACACGGACAGACAGACACACACACAGAGACGTACACACAGACACACACAGGCACACAGAGAGACAGAAATATGCACACGGACAGACAGACACAGAAAGACAGGGAGGCACACAGGTAGCCTCTGGGTTGGGGTGCTCAGAACCCCCTTTTCCCCTAGGTCTAGGGAATGCACCCCCTCTGCTGGGCCCCTGCTCTCTGGCCCCCCACAACCCCCCCCACCCTCAGCCCTGCGGGGGTTCCCTTGGGCCGTCTGGCTACGGCCCAGAGGGATTCGAGGCCCCAGGCTCTCTCAGCTCTGCCAACCTGGCCCTCCGCCTCTGCCTTTCCGCGCATGCTCGCCCACCAGAATGTTCCTCTGCTCCTTGCGCTGAGACCCTCCTTCCAGGACCACCTCCCCAGAGCAGACACGGGGCCCTCCTTCCGCTGCGGGCACCTGTGGATGGCACGCCCGGCCTCGCTTTCCCCGTGAGCCACTGCAAGCATTCTGTTAAGAACCCTCAGAGTCCCTGCTTCAGGCCCAGAGGGGGCCCTCCGTGTCACCCGTTGGATCCCTGCTTCTCAGCTTTGCTTGTGGCCTGGGTGCCATGGCTGGAGGGGACCCAGGCGCGAGTGTGGGTGGGGCACACACATTGGAGGCGCACGGGGGCAGCCCGGGCCCTCTGGGGCTACACGTGTGTCCCTGCGGGAGTGTCCTGAGCCCTCGTGGCTGCGGCCAGGGCCGGGGGCGGGGGGACTGGCCGTGAGGGTGGGGGAGCCCCGGCCCACGCCGCCCCCTCCCTGCAGGATGGACCCCTTCGCGGACACGCTGAGGCGGCTGCGGGAGGCCTTCAGCGCAGGGCGGACGCGGCCGGCCGAGTTCCGGGCGGCGCAGCTCAGGGGCCTGGGCCGCTTCCTGCAGGAACACAAGCAGCTTTTGCAGGAGGCGCTGGCGCAGGACCTGCACAAGGTGGGGGCGGGGGGGCGGGGCCGGGGGGGCAAGGCTGGCTGTGCCCCCCACTCGTTCCTGTTTGTTGCACAGACCCTTCCCGGGCGTGCAGCGTGGGGTAGGCGCTCTACGACATCAACTCACCCAAACTTGTGGGGCGTGTTTCCCATGGTACCCATGGGGAAACTGAGGTGCATGGGGGTGAAGACACCTGCCCAAACTCCCACACCCGGGAAGCGGCAGAGCGGGAGCTGGAGCCCGGGGCCACCTGTCCTGGGGTCCACGCTGCTCACCGCTCACCGTGCCGTTCCTCGGGAACTATCTCCACATCCCGGGGTGAGGATTCCTGGGGACCCCACGCCCTAGATCCCCTCCCCGCCCTGCCCCAGGCCCGATCCCTGAGTTCCATCTCACGGCAGGCAGCTTTCGAGGCAGACACATCCGAGCTCATCATGTGTCAGAACGAGGTCGACCTCGCGCTCAAGAACCTGCCCACCTGGATGAAGGATGAGCCTGTGGCCAAGAACCTGGTGAGCCAGCTGGCCCGGCGGCAGTTCCAGCACAGGCCTCTCCACCACCCTCGTCCCACGGCGAGCCACTGACGCTCTCGAGTCTTCATGAGGACTCCTTTGCACAGGCACCTCGGGGACACTGGGGGTGGCTTTGGGGTGCTCCCCCCCGCAGCGCCTCACTATGCCCCCCACCCCTGCACTCCAGCTCACGCAGATGAGCTCTGCCTTCATCCGGAAGGAGCCCTTCGGCCTGGCGCTCATCATCAGCCCCTGGAACTATCCCGTGAACCTGACCCTGGTGCCCCTGGTGGGTGCCCTCGCCGCAGGTGAGGAGAGTGTCCTGAGCCCCCCTCCCCACCCAGCCCAATAGCCCTTCCCTAATAGGGCCCCCGGCCTCTGGCCTGTTCCTTGCATCTCTGCCCTGGGTGGCTGTCGGGCCCCTGGCCTCTCCCCACGTCTTCCACCTCTGTCCCTGCAGGGAACTGTGTGGTGCTGAAGCCGTCAGAAATAAGCAAGAGCACAGAGAAGGTCCTGGCTGAGGTCCTGCCCCAGTACCTGGACCAGGTGAGGATGGCCCCCCCACATCAGCACCCGGTGGCCCACCCCCCGCCTCTGTCAGCTGGGAGGGGTCCAGCCGTCCCCAGGGCTGCAGTATCTCCTGAGGCGCCTGTCCCGCCCTACAGAGCTGCTTCGCCGTGGTGCTGGGCGGGCCCCAGGAGACGGGGCGGCTGCTGGAGCACAAGTTCGACTACATCTTCTTCACGGGTGAGGGTGGCCTCAACCAATGTCCCGGGGGAAGGCTGCGGAGGGAGGAGGTGGTGGCCAGGAGGGGGAGCATCCCAGATGGCGATCAGCCCCTGGGCCTCGGAAGGTAGAATCTGGGGGCAGCAAGGCCTGGGGCACCTGCCAGGGGACAAGGTACAAATGGGCCCGGAGAGGGGGGGCCTGGACCCTCGTCAACTCCCGTGTCCCCAGGGAGCCCTCGGGTGGGCAGGATCGTCATGTCTGCGGCCGCCAAGCACCTGACGCCCGTCACGCTGGAGCTGGGGGGCAAGAACCCCTGCTACGTGGACGACGACTGTGACCCCCAGACCGTGGCCAACCGCCTGGCCTTGTTCCGCTACTTCAACACCGGCCAGACCTGCGTGGCCCCCGACTACGTCCTGTGCAGCCCTGACACGCAGGAGCGGCTGCTGCCCGCCCTGCAGAACGCCATCACCCGCTTCTACGGCGAGGACCCCCGGAGCTCCCCGAACCTGGGCCGCATCATCAGCGACAAGCACTTCCAGCGGCTCCGAGGCCTGCTGGGCTGTGGCCGCGTGGCCATTGGCGGCCAGAGCGACGAGAGCGAGCGCTACATCGGTGAGCCTGCCATCCTGCCATGACCCCCGTGGGAAGGCCCGTCCATGAGGCGGGTCCTGCCTGGGCCGTGAGTCTGGGCCAGGAGGCTCCCACCTGGGCCACGAGTCTGGGCCGCGAGTCTGGGCCAGGAGGCTCCCACCTGGGCCGTGAGTCTGGGCCGCGAGTCTGGGCCAGGAGGCTCCCACCTGGGCCGCGAGTCTGGGCCGCGAGTCTGGGCCGCGAGGCTCCCACCTGGGCCGCGAGTCTGGGCTGCGAGTCTGGGCCAGGAGGCTCCCACCTGGGCCGTGAGTCTGGGCCGCGAGTCTGGGCCAGGAGGCTCCCACCTGGGCCGCGAGTCTGGGCTGCGAGTCTCCCACGGCTGCACTGGCTGCGCCCAGCCTGGACCCCGGCTCTGGGAAGACCGTTGGGAGACACAGGCGCTCCGCCTCAGCCCTGGCCAGGCTGGAGAACCCCTCACGGTCCTTCCTGGGGGCCGTGGGGACACCGTCTTCCCCAGAAGGTCCCTGAGCCCTGCCCGAGGCCCCCCTCCCCAGGGCTGAGCCGCCCCCTGTGCCCGCAGCCCCCACGGTGCTGGTGGACGTGGAGGAGACGGAACCCGTGATGCAGGAGGAGATCTTCGGACCCATCCTGCCCATCGTGAACGTGAGGAGCCTGGACGAGGCCATCGACTTCATCAACCGTCGGGAGAAGCCCCTGGCCCTGTACGCCTTCTCCAACAACAAACAGGTGGGGGCTCGGGTGGGGCTGGGACAAGAAAGGGGTTTAAAAAAGGTGCAGACTGGTGACCTCCCCCCATCACAGCCCACCCTGGGAGGGTTAGGGCAGCACCACTTGGCCAACGGTTCCCTGCACAAGGTTCCTGGCAGGGAGGGCTTGGGCAGGGCCGAAAACCTGCCAGATGCATGGCTGGCCAGCCGTCTGCCCTGGCCGGGTGAGCCTCCAGCTAGACGATGGGGTGCCTTTTTCTATCTGGCCTGCTCAGAGAGCCCCTTCTTCCTAAAGTGCACGAAGGCTCTGTGTGGGCAAGCAGAGGCCCTGAAGGGGGAACGGGGCAGAGCTCCGGGGGACCTGACAGGCAGAGGGACATGCCTGCCGGCGCATGGCTGGTGCTTCCTACCCTTCCGGCCGCCCCTCACGGTCACGGGCCCCCTCCACGTGGAAGGGGCTCAGAGGCTCAGAGGGGAGATGTCTCAGCAGAGGACGGGAACAAAGGGGGCTCCTCTGCTCCCAGTGGAACGGTTGAGGGCCCAAGCCCTCTTCCCGGATCACAAGCCCACCGCCGGCCGCCCCCCTCCTCCCCCCAGGTAGTGAACCAGATACTGGATCGGACCAGCAGCGGGAGTTTCGGAGGCAATGAAGGCTTTGTCTACCTGACTCTGACGTCCCTGCCGCTGGGGGGAGTCGGTGAGCCCTGCCCTCCTCTACCCTCCGGCCCCCACTCCCAGGGAAGCCCGGGTTGGAACTCCGAGCCCCGGAAGGCCCAGTTTCGCCTTCACTCTCTTGCTCCTGGCCCCGGGTCTCTCAAGGCCTCAGTTTCCCTATCCGCACAATGGCTTTTTGAGTGGCTCAGCTTTCCCTGAGCTCCGTGCCAGCTCTGGGCTCCCACTTGGGCAGGAGGCTGCTGCTGAGGCTGGGTGGGCTGCCGGCCTCAGCCCCTCCCCTCCACGCCCACGCAGGGAACAGCGGGATGGGAAGATACCACGGCAAGTTCTCCTTCGACACCTTCTCCCACCACCGCGCCTGTCTGCTCTCCCACCCCGGCCTGGAGAAGCTCAATGAAATCCGCTACCCTCCCTACACTAACAGCAAAGAGCAGCTGGTCAGCTGGGCCTTGGGGTCCCAAAGCTGCACCCTTCTGTGAACACCCTGTACCCCTCCAGGGCCTTACCCCCACGATCCCTCTGTCCTGCCGCTGCCCAGGTGTTCAGTGTGGGGCTCGGAAGGAGGGGATCCTGTCCAGGAGTGCAAAGATCGTCTTCTTGGGCCTTTGTCTCAACAGACCCCTGGCTGGGCAGGACCTCTGGGCCTTTGGTCTGGCTGTTTTCAGGGCCAAAGTCCTTGCCTGTGGTCTCCTGATTCAGCTTGGCTATGCCTGGTGATGGAATTCTTGTGGTTAGAAAGGACTCCCTTGTATCAGATCTATAATTAGGCCCCCCAAATACAGGGCGATTTCTAACAGCGCCACTCACACCTGGTTTGGGGAGCTGACATAATCTGATCTTGAGCCCGGACCTGGCTAGTTGCCGAAGTCACCCGAAAGGGTGTCCCTGGCAAGGACTCTGATGCTGTGGGTAGGTGGAATCAACAGGAAAGAGTACAAGGGGTGATTAGTCACATCTCCTCTGGGCACAGGAGGGGGTGTGCACATTCTGGACATGTCTATCATCCGGCCGCAGACTCCCAGGAGGAGATCGTGGTCGGCAGAGTCTAAACCTAGCCACTCCATCCGACACATGGGGAAACTGAGGTCTAGAGACAGCAGGGCGCCGAACCGAGTTTATACAGGAAAGCAGGGCAGAGCTGAATGATGGCGGGTTTCTGGAGAAATTTGGAGGGGGGGGGGGCGTCAGTAAACAGAATATATCTAGTGCATCGTGACCTGCCTCTTACTCTTCCCCAAATCCTCATCCTGGGAGCTCACTTCCAACCCCCACCCCACTCTTCATGGGGCTCCTCACCCCTCAGAGCCATGGGCAGACAGGGGGTGTGGCCTCCGGTTGAGGGAAAAGGAGGAGGATGGCCGTCTTGCACACCACGATCTCTGAAATGTGGCCCCCAGTGACCATGGTGTTCAGATTCTCTAGTCCCCTGATGATGGCAGCCTGGTCTGCACGGTGGCGGGGGACAGCTTGGCTTAGGCCACATGCCGTGTCCACACATATTTAGAAGCCTCGCCCAGAGGAAGGGACTGATACAATCAAGTTGCTGGTCCCTCCGCGGCCGGGAGCTCCAGTGGGTGGCCCCAGCTTCTTTCGCAATTGTCTTGGGTATTGTTTAGAACACACAGGACGTGGAATTATGTCACTGACCGAGTCACTGTACTCGGAGGGCAGTCCGGCCTCCTTGGCAAGATGCCATCCTGCTGGGGCACTGGGGTGGCCCCGCTCTCTACGCACCCGATCTAGTCAGTATCTCGGGCTCGGGTTCCAGGGAGGGCATCAGCTTCCCAACTGCCCGGGGTTGTGCCATGTGAACGGAGATGAAAACCGGGGAGGGAGGAGTAGCTCAGGCTCTTGCAGGTGAATCCAAAGGTCTTTCCACATCCGCTGCCCCCACAGAGGCGTGGGCACGAGCTTCCACCCCTCAGCTTCCCCTGCTCAGAGCTGCCAGGTTAATCCCTTTAAAACAGCCCAGCTGTCGTTGCCAAGGGCTAAAGGCCACGGCTCGCTCACGAGCAATCACTGGCCAGATGACTTAGAGCTCAGCCCGCTGGTTGCTGCACTGGCCGCCGTGCGAGAGGTCGTACCCGGACTATGCCAGGTGAGTATTAGAAGTCATCCCAAACCCCCAAATCCCTACAAAGGCTCACACTTCTCTCACCTTCTTAAGGGTTGCACCTTATCAATCACGGCTTTGGGGACAGCGCGAGTCTTACCAGACAATCCCCCAAACCTCCCAACGGCGCCTGGGCTTCGGGTTTTCTGTAGATAAATCCGTCTTTTCCTTTGCAGGTGCGTCAGGAAAGCCCATGCAGCAGAGGCAGACCTTTGCTTGTTAACATTGTATCAGCAATGCCTTGGGTCCGGGTCACTGATGTGGGGAAGGAGAACGGGGACAGGTCCCCAGCCACCACCCCACGACAGAGGGAGGGCGGGGCTGCGCAGGTAGCTTTGGGGGAGCCCTTGACACGTTCATCGCCGTCCCTCCCACACGAAGGCAAATCGATCTTAGCTGTCAGAAACCCGTATTGTCGGTCTTTTCTTCGAATCTCCTGGCGATGAGGTGCTTTTGTAGGCATGCATTTTTGCCAAACCACTAGGGTAAAACAGTAACTCTCTGTAAATGACGATAGACTTGACAATGGTCAGGGTTAGAGATCTGATGACAGTTTGTTATAGCACACGGGGCAAGGGAGCCTCTCCGGCAGTCCGTATTTTATTTGTTTTTATTTTTTTAAGTTTATTTATTTATTCTGAGAGAGAGGGAGAGAGGGGGAGAGAGAGAGAGAGAGAGAGAGAGAGAGAGAGAGAGAGAGATCGAGCCAGAGGGAGAGGGGCGGAGAATCCCAAGCTGTCAGCTCAGAGCCTGACGTGGGCTCGAACCCACGAGCCGTGAAATCATGACCTGAGCCGGTCACTCAACTGACCGAGCCACCCAGGCGCCCCCGCCAGTCTGTATTTTAAAAGTCTCTTGGGGGGCGCCTGGGTGGCGCAGTCGGTTAAGCGTCCGACTTCAGCCAGGTCACGATCTCGCGGTCCGTGGGTCCGAGCCCCGCGTCGGGCTCTGGGCTGATGGCTCAGAGCCTGGAGCCTGTTTCCGATTCTGTGTCTCCCTCTCTCTCTGCCCCTCGCCCGTTCATGCTCTGTCTCTCTCTGTCCCAAAAATAAATAAAAAACGTTGAAAAAAAAAATTTTTAAAGTCTCTTGGGGCGCCTGGGTGGCTCAGTCTGTTAAGCCTCCGACTTCAGCTCAGGTCACGATCTCACAGTCCGTGAGTTCGAGCCCTGCGTCGGGCTCTGGGCTGATGGCTCGGAGCCCGGAGCCTGCTTCCGATTCTGTGTCCCCCTCTCTCTCTCTGCCCCTCCCCTGTTCATGCTCTGTCTCTGTCTCAAAAATAAATAAACGTTAAAAAAAAAATTTAAAAAGTCTCTTGCCTCCTTTTTGCCTTCAGTCTCTGTGGGCAACGTTTGGGTTATCTCCCGGGATGTTTTACATTTACAGACCAGACTTAACAACCTCCAGGGACAAAGAAAGAACGCAAGTTGTCTCTTAGGACTTTTGGGGTAACTGCTATTTAAAAATTTTCCGTAAAGGGGCACCTGAGTGGCTCAGTCGGTAAAGCGGCCGACTTCAGCTCAGGTCACGATCTCGCGGTCTGTGAGTTCGAGCCCCGCGTCGGGCTCTGGGCTGACCGCTCAGAGCCTGGAGCCTGTTTCAGATTCTGTGTCTCCCTCTCTCTCTGCCCCTCCCCTGTTCATGCTTTGTCTCTCTCTGCCTCAAAAATAAATAAATGTTTGGAAAATAAAATAAAATAAATTAAAAAATAAAAATAAAAAATAAAAATTTTCCGTAAGTTAGGGGTCAGAAAGCAGGGCGCATTTTGTCTGTTTCCTCATCATTTGCTGCAGCATCACCCTCTCCAACTTCATCGGTTTCTCAGAGATTCCGCCTCTTAGTGTCCCAGTCCGGCTGTGTCACAGTGCCGGGGTCTTAACCTTAACCAGCTTGCACCCTCCCTGGGTTGCAGACGGCAGGCCGAGGCCTCTAGTTCATCACCCTGGTCTCCCTCCCAGCTCGTCTGCCAGCCTGAGGCCGACAGAGCAATGGACACCACGCATCTTTCTCTAACCTCGGCAATTCTAACTTGCTTCCCTTTTTTTTTTTTCTTTAGTTTACTTATCTTGAGTGTGAGCTTTAGTTTACTTATTTGAGTGTGAGACACTATGAGCAGGGGAGGGGCGGGGAGCAAGAGAGAAAGAGAGCGAGAATCCGAAGCAGGCTCCACGCTTAGCGCAGAGCCCCCCACGCGGGGCTCGATCCCACGCCCCGGCGATCATGACCTGAGCCGAAGTCAAGAGTCTGACGCTTAACCGACTGAGCCACCCAGGCGCCCAGGCCATTCTAACTTTCTAACTGGAGCTGCAGCCTCGGGGCCCGCGGAACTGCTCGCGGCAGAGGTCGGCCCACCGGGGCCCCCGTGGCTTCCCTCCTCTTCCGCAGGGCACCACGTGCCGCTCTGCCGAGGAGCACGGACGACGGCTGGCGTCTTAAGGTGTCCCCTGTGTTCACACGGCAGTCCGCAGTCATCTGACACAGGCCGCCGCTCCTCTCACAGAGGCTGATGGCCAAGTTGGGATATCCGCACCCACCCACCCCCACCCTGAAGATGCCTCCTTCCCAAGGTCCATTTCTTTGGTCTCCTGGCTGGCTCACCAGGGGTTGGTCTGAACCCCTCTCGGGAGCTTCCCAGGTGTTACCTAAAACCGGCCCCCATCTGCAGAGGGCGGGGACTGATCAAGGAAGAGGCAGGTCATTCTAGGTTGGTAAGTGGCAGTGTTAATAAGCCAAAGGAACTTACATACGAGGCCCGGCCCGTCTGGGGCAGCAGCAAGACGAGTGGGTCCCCTCGCTGCCCGCCAGATCTTATAAGTTTACACAGAAAGAGGCCTTAACCGGGTACAGTCACGTATACCGCGCAGGGCTACAGCTTTGGAGCAGCCTCCGGGAGCGGGAAAGGCACGCTTCAGAGAGCCTTGAACTCCTCCAGGCCCCGGCTCAGCCCTTCTCTCTTCCCGGGACGCCCTCCCTCTACCTCTCACCCACCCCTGCCTCCCCTCGGGCACTGCCTGTCTCGCCCTCTTGCAGTAGCCGGGGTCCCCGTCACTCCGCTGCCACACCGGTACCGGGTCCCTCAGCGTGTCTGGGCCTCCGCTCCCTTATCTTGCAGAACGGGGCTCCCACTTCTGTCTTAGAATCGCTGTCGGGGTTAAAAGGGACCACGCGTGTCCGAGGCGCAGGGGCCCCCAGACTCCTACAGAAGCTGTGCCCTCCCAGAGCTTCCCGGGGCTCTGTCACAACCGTGAGGTTTGTGCCAGAAGCCTCTCCTTGTCCTGCTGCCCTGAGGCTTGGGTGTGGCCCAGGTGTAGGAGTGCACACGACAGGGATCCAGCTGTGGCCCTCCGTCTCGCTCACGTTCGCTCGACGACCCCTCATGGGGTCGCGCGTTCGGGGCCCCTTGGAGACCAGTATGCGTGCCTGAGAGATACCCACCAAGGCCCGGATCCCCGGGAGACTTGCCCCGGCCTCCCGGGAACCTGTCAGAGATAACACAGTCTTCCCCCTCCTGCCGCACAGGCGACTGAGCCACAAGATCTAATTAAAGGCTAGCTGTCGGGGCGCCTGGTGGCTCAGTGGGTGTCGGGCTCTTGATTTCAGCTCAGGTCGTGACCTCGCGGTTCGCAGGCTGGGGACCCGAGGTGCAGAACCTGCTTGGGATCCTCTCCCTCTCTCTCTCTGCCCCTCCCCTGCTTCTGCTCTCTCTCTCTCTCAAAATAAATAAACATGAAAAAAAAGAAGAGGTTAGCTGTCAGGTGCACGCAAGCCCTTTGATGGCACTGATCACCTCGCTGTGTAAGTAAGGTCTGCAGACGAAAGTTCCCGACTTCACGGAGAATAACCACCCAGTTAGGTCATCGTCAGCTCCACCCGCCGTCAGTGGGTCGCCCTGAGCAGAGCTGCGTAAAGCTTATGGAGTGGCCTCCTTCGCTTCCCGGTCTGAAAGGGCCTTCTCAGCCCGGGGGATACTTTACTGTCCCTCCTCCACCTTCCAAACCGGGGTGTGGGAGGCCCAAACTCAGGGCCCTGGAGTCTCGCCCAGTGTAGGTGACTCACTGCCTGGTTCTGCCTCTCTCCTCGGTGACCTCCGGACTGTCCTTAGCTCTTCCCTGACAGCTCGACCTGGAGGCCGCCAGGGCCGGGTGTGGGGGAACTTCCCCCTCATCCTAGCCCCCTTGACCCTTGAGAGCAGCAAGGAAGGGTGGGCTCAGATCGGACCCCCCCCCCTCCGGGTTCCGACTCCAGCTCTGCCCCTAATGCCCTGTGTTCCCTTGGCATTTTGTCTGAGCCTCGGTTTCCACATCCGTAAAATGGGTCTGAGGGTCATTTCCCAAAACAGAGCAAACCGATTCCTTTGCGTCACGCCTGTCCCTGAAAATGACCGAAAATACTGGACAAAACATTCCGAAACTTTGTTTAAGGCATCAAAAAGCTGGAAAAGTGGGACCGCACAGATCATAGCCCTTTAGGGTAAAGGTGACCTGGGAGAGACGCTGGCCCTCTGGGGTTACAAGCACAGAAGCATGTGGCTGAGGGGGTAAAGGCAGGGGGGGGTGTTCCTCATCTGGGCATCTGCCAAAGCACAGACCTCTTGGGTGGGGGGGGAGGTTGTCTTTATCTCAGGCCTTAGAGAGTCCTCGCAAGTAATCTTCCAAGTGTGCGTGCAGCTTCCCTTCCTGGCCCTGGGAGGGAGGGCTGGCCCCACTCCCAGAGGAGGGATAGAGGGCACGGACAGGAGCCTGGCCACGGGACCTGGGCTCTATGTGGCCGCAGCAAGTAAGAGTGTGGGGTGGAGCCAGGTGAGGAAACAGCAGCTCTGACCCCTGGGGGGACCTGGGCCAGCTCTCGGCAGGCTCGGCACAAACACTGCCCTGGGGATCTCTGGGCCCATAAACATCCGCTGGCCCAGCAGGCGCACACCCAGCCCCGGAGGCCCTGGAAACCCAGACCACCTCTGCACGTAATCACCCCCTCCCTGAGGCCTCTGCACCGGCCCAGAGGGGACGGCAGGAGCTGCCTGGAACCCAGACACCCCCCAGCTAATCAGGTGACACTCCCCATGCTGCGCCCTGGTTCCCCCACCTACAAAATGGGAGCGTAGTCCTCTTGCTAAAGGGAGCCTGCCTTGGGGTCCATCTCCCCCACGGGAACGGGCCCCTCTTCCCAACATAGGCACCGGGCGAGAGAAGCCCTGAGCTGCACCCCCAGAGGCACAAACGGGGCGGGGCTGAGCTGCGTCCCACCACAACTTTTGACACACAACCTCCTTGCCCAGCTGGGATCCCTCGGGCCTCAGGGAGCTCACCACTCTGCCACTCCAGCTCTGACCACTGGGCCCCGTGTCCGTGCCGGGGTCACCTAAGCAGGTCCGCCACCAGGTTCTCCACCCCACATGTGGATGTGCTTGCTGCCTGTGCCCCGAGGGCCCCTGCGCCACGCGGCAGTGACTGGGGGCACCCAGTGCCGTGACACGTCTGGTGTCTACCTGGCCCAGCACCGGCTGCGGGCCCCGGGGGAGCTACAGAGACCCAGCTTCGCCACACCTGGGCTGGCCAAGCCGGTGGCCACAGCTGCCGGCCGTCGCTGCATGGGCCGGGACCCCAACCGCACCTTCACCAGCGACTTCCTCACACGAGTGTCCTCCAGGCTGGCCCAGCCCCTCGGCCTGGCACTGAGTCCCCGCCTCAGACGGTCGCGGTAGACTTCAAGCTGATCAGGGCTTCCTCTGCGTTCCCCAGACCCACGGTTTGCCTCCGACCAGCCCCATAGGCTGCGTTTACCAGTCCAGCACCCCAACAGCTCTTCCTCCTCCAGTAGATGCTCGCTGGGCCCCATCTCCGAGCTGGGCTTTGGTCAGCTCAGGTGAAAAAATGGGGAATAAGACTGAGGTGTTGTCCTTAGCCCACTGGGGGACACAGAGGAAACCCGCAGCAACCACAACCCAAGAGGCTAAATGTAGGGGAGGGGGCAACATGAAGCATCTAACATGGCCAAGGGCAGCCATGGAGGGCTTCCTGGAGGAGGTTATATCTCAGCCGAGCCCCAAAGGGTGAGTAGAGGTTAACTAGGAAAAGAGAGGAGAGGAGATCCCGGGAAAGGGTCCGGCAGGTGCAAAGGCCTGGAGGTGCGGCTGCAGTGAAAACTGATGAAGCAGGTGGGGCCGGGCTGAGGGTTTGGATTTTATGGGGCCAGTGGGGAGCCGGTGGGGGTCCTAAGCAGGGCAGGGACGGCCACAGTGGCACAGAGAAGAGGCTTTGAGCTGCTCTGTCTCTCCTGCAGGATCTCGGAGGCCTCACCCTTCCTTGCAGCATGAGGCCGTCATCCCATTAAGCCTCTGATCACTGACTGAGACTGTTAGGGGGCTGACACCCCATTCCTGCTCCTGCAGTGCCAAGGCCAACCTGGATGACCCGTGCAAGGTGACAAGGGCCCCAGAACTGAACCAGCTGCCGGGGCCCCAGGCCCCAGGCCGGGCCTTCGGCTTTGTCCTTGACCTGCACAGCAGCACGGCCAACACGGGCACCTGCCGCCTCGCAGAAGCTGCCCACAGAGGGTCTTGCCATGCACCTGTGCCACCACCAGGTGGCCCTGGCCCCTCGGGGACAGTGGGGAAGGGGACAGCTGGGATGGTGCCAGTGCCTCCCCTGGCCCTCTCCTTGGGCTCCAGTCAGGGCCTGCCACCCTCTGGTCCCTTCCTTCCCCCCTTCCTGCCAGAGGGTGGAGGGAGGCTGGGCTGGGGTGGGTAGTGCCCCGTGCTCCCTCCATGCTCTCCCCACGCCTCAGTTTCCCCTTCTTGGGGGTCTGACCCACCCCTCCTTTCCCTCCACCCCCACTGCAGAGCCCCAAGGTGCCCTGCCCAGCCCTGTACCAGCTGCCGGGGTGGGGGAGTTATAGCCTGGACCCCTTGGCCAAGAACGGAATGGGTAAGCTGCCACCTCAGGAGAAATGGGTGAGGGGGCGGGGCTTGGAAGGGCGGGGCCGCGTGATAGGCAGGGTCAAGGACCTGGGGTTAGAGCACTCCTCTCTGGGGCACCCGCCTGACCCCTCTCCTCCTGGTCCCCAGTCCTGGAGCTGGGCCTCCAGCCTCAGGATGTGCTGCGAGCAGGATGAGGACCCTGGTGGCCAAAGTCCTGGACTTCATCAAGCTCTTCACCCAGGGTGAGATCTGCAAGGACTTGCTGGGAAACTGAGACCCAGAGAGGCGAGGGCCCGACCCGGGGACCCTGGAGCCAGGCTCACGGGTGGGCTGGGGACCAGCCTTGGGTGGCCCCCACGGCCCACTGTGTCCTGGGCCTGGAGGAAGGGACAGGCTCACACACCCAGCCTTTGGCCCAGGCACAGCCTCTCCTGCTTTAAGCACATGGAACGGGCAGCGTGGACCGGCCACGCACGGAGGCCGGGGCCTGGGCATCCTCAGCTGCAGGTGCGTGTGTGTTGTTGTGGGGAGATTCCTGGGTCACAGCTTTGGTGGCAGAGGCAACTGAGGCCCAGAGGCAGGGACCACGGGTGCCTCCCACAGGGTCATCAGGACCTCAGAATCAGGATCAGAACACGAGGCTGCCCCCTCCCCCCACCAATGCCCTGCCCCTACAGCCTCCCTGGAACCCCACGGACAGGCCTGGCATTCAGGGCCGCAGTGATCTGCCCGGCGCCTGCAGAGGCCAGGAGGGGCTCCTCACAGCCTGGCCACAGAAGGCAGAGGGAGGTGATACGGAGCGGGCACCACCCAATCCACCTGCTTGCAGGTGCAAACACGGAGCCTGTCTTTATTTTCCAAGTACTTCCCCAAGCGTCCCTCTGCACGTTAGGAGGGAATCCGGCATTCCTTCGGCAGGCCTTCCCTTCCTGAATGTCACAGGAGTCTGGCCTCCCCGCTTCTGCGCCTGGCCTGGCGGGGAGGAGATTGGGAAGATTGCGCCGCTCACCGGCTACCGCTCTGCCCGCTGCCACGTGGGGTCGCTGTCACACTAGGTGCACGCCCTCCGTGGCCTTCGAGTCCTGCCGTGTCCAGGCCACAGGCCTCCCCACGCTGGGTGCCCAGCCCTAGCCTCCTTAGTAACCGTTCTCCAAGTGTCCCAACTGGCCTTCGGGGGGCGGGACGGGCTTCAGAGGGGGCCACATGCTCTGTTGGCACCAGCCCTCCCCCTGCCACGGCAAAGATCTGTCCCCCAGCCCAGTAAGCAGCCACAGCCCCCTCCTTCAGTGGTGAGTCCCAGCGGGACAGCATCAGAGTGGCCCAGCAGACAGACCTGGTACGCACCGGGGGCGCAGCAGAGGCTGGGCACAAAAAAGAAAGAAATATCGGAAAGAATTTGACATTTCAAAAATTGTTTAAAGAACCAGAGTAACAGGGCACCTGGGTGGCTCAGTCAGTTGAATGTCTGACTTCAGTTCAGGTCATGATCTCGCGGTTTGTGAGTTCGAGCCCCGCGTCCGGCTCTGTGCTGACAGCTCCGAGCCTGGAGCCTGCTTCAGATTCTGTGTCTCCCTCTCTCCCTGCCCCTCCTCTGCTCATGCTCTCTCTCTCTCGCTCAAAAACAAATAAACATTAAAACATTTTTTTTAAAAGAACCAAAGTAACAATTGTAGGAAAAATCAGCCATTGGTTGGGGTTTTTTTGCTGTTGTTAAAGCTTCATGTTTGATTTTGAGGTGTTCTCTTACTTATAACAACACCATAGTGGAGGGGCAACATCTTTTCGGCGTTTAGGGCCGGGGGCCCATCCATTGTCCTTACAGATGCGGAGCCATGACAGTTATTTCGAGTGATTTCTCCCACAATTTAAAAATTTATTTGATAGGCCATTATATTATGTTTCCTCTGTGTCAGACGCTGTTAAGCACTATTAGCCATTTAACTTAAACCTCAGGAGGATAGGAGAAGACACCATAATTCCTATTTTACAGAGGAGGAAGCTGAGCTCAAGGTCACCCGGCTAGCAAGGATTTGAACCTCTACTATCTGTGCCCTTAACCACGAGGCTACACTTCCACAATGACAACTGTCTTTCTAAGGCAACTTGTGTCTCCATTCTAAACACAGAGCCAGGGGCATCTCGGCACACACCCTGTCACATTGGTTGAGAAAGTGAAGCAGTGACTGGATGAGGCCATCGGTGAAGGGCATCTCTTGGGCACTGCCTGCTGGGGTTGCCCCCACAGGGGCCAGGGCAGAGGTCGGCCCCAGCAACCTTGGCCAGAGGCTCTCTTCCCAGGACTGAGGCTTCCAGACCCTACAGCCCGGTATAGCCATCCTCCAGGGGGCGGGGGTGAGGGTGTGCGCGGGGGGGGGGGGGGGGGTCTGCCGTGTACCCCATGGTCATCAACAAGGCCGCCTACTATGAAAAGGGCATTGCCTCCATTCAGGCGGAGAAGCTCACGTTCTCCGTGCCTGCCCTACCGCGCTGGCCCTCACCCCCACCCCAGCCCCTGACCCAGGTCAGACCCGCACAGCCTCAGCCCTCCCATCTGAACAATGGGTCCCGAGCCACAGTCTTGCTCCCAGGGCACCCCTTTGCCTTCTGCTGTATACCATGTTTCTGGCCACACCCCCATGCCTCCGTACCTCAGTTTCCCATCTATAAAATGGAAGATGTCCAGGGGTTAATGGTTCGTGTCCTCTGTCCTTCATGGTCCCTCTCTGTGACCTCAGGATCTGGCGCAGGTCTGGCCCAGGGTGGTCTTGGACATGCTGTGTGTCCTGGGGCCAGTGATGGCTGTCTCTGTACAGCCTATCGGTGCCCAGGGGGAAGGTCCCACTTGGAGTCAACAGAGGGCCTTCCAGAAGAGGCCACGACCCAGAGGGGTTCTCCCAACCTGCCTACACTCCTGGGGCTGGAGAATCAGTCTGAGACAGCAGAAGCCCATGCACGTGCCTACCCAGGCACTGTGTGTGTGTGTGTGTGTGTGTGAGTGCACACACATGTGTTTCCAAGAACTTCAATACCTTGGGTGTCCTTCTGAGGAGGTCTTTATGTGGCTGGGCACATAGCCCAGATGTGCATTTCCAATGTATAATGAGCCTGGTGCCCATGGGGACTCAGGGGGAGTCAGGGCTGGGGAAGGGGTGCAGTTCGACAAGGCTGTCCCCACCCAGGACAGCCGCCCGGGGGCAGGGACGCAGGGAAGAGGTACCTTGGCCTGGGGTAGGGGGAGTCTTACCAGGGGGGCTGGAGTTCCTCAGCACCCCAAGAGGGAGCGGGCGCGGGGTCTGCTGCTGGGGTCCCCTCGGTCCTGACCCAGGCCCTCTCTGCAGGGCGTCCACACAGGCCAGACTGGACACAGCCCGCAGCTTCTGCGCCCACGTGAGCCTGACAGGCCGCGGCTCCTGCCTGACAGCGGGGCCGGGGGGCCCAGAGCGCCATCCTCGGGAGGCGTCTCCCCCCGGCCCCTCTGCACCCTCGCCTGGCCCATCCATCTCCCCGCGGCCACAGCTGCCACGCGGCCTCCTGCTATTGAGCAGCGAGATGAGAAGGTGTGAAGGATACGGGGGCGCCAGGGACGGGCTGGCAGGCGAGATGGATGAGGGGGCAGGGGGGCCAGCAGGCGCCTCCGGCGGGAAGGGCAGGCCGGCCGGGGAGGAGGCTGTGCAGAGAGGCGCGCCTGTGTGCGAGGCGTGTGTGAGAGAGAGCGCGCGTGCACCCATGCACACGGCAGCTTGTGCACGTGTGCACACGAGTGGGTGTGGGGCGTGGGGCCTGGGGTTCATCTGTGTGCAAGTGGGCTGGCCCATCAGTGTCCTCACCTACATGCGTGGAGGGGGCGTTTCCCATCACACAGAGCAGAGCTGCGTGCAGGTGCACGCGCACCTGTGCGCGCGCACACACACACACACACACACACACACCAGTGGCCAACAGGACCCTGGGCTGGCCCACTCCTGGGAGTCCAGGCTGAGGGGGAGCCAGGAGGTTTGGTGGGAATCTCCCAAGACCATCATCTCTCCCCTCTCCCTCCTCCCCACCCCCCCCGCCCCACTGTGGATCCTGGGACAGCGTGGCGTGGCCGGTCACACACCTCACTGGGTGGCCCCTGATAGCCGCTGGGACCCCCCCAAGCATGGAGAACCGCCCCCCTCATCCTGCCCCACAGCAAACCCCAGAGCTGGGCATGGGCCTACCTCTCCCAGCTTGGCAGGCAGGGATCTGGGTTACAGGAGACCAAAGCAGGAGGCACCCCTAAGCGGAGGGAGGAGAGGTCTGCCCCCGGGCATCAGGCTCTGGGAGGAGTTGGGTGTCATTCTTGGAGAGAAGCAGTCCTTCCGTCCCGCGGTCCCTCCATGCCCACTGCCAGGCATGGGCCTCCGCCTCCCCCACGTCCCCAGTGCCACACTCTGGAGGAGGTGTGTTGGGGTGGGGGGGGTCTAGTCTGCCTTGGGGACCCCAGTCAAGCGGGCCCAGCCCAGCCTGAGGTGCTGTCCCCTAGTGCCGGCCTGGGGGCTGGCCTGGAACACTCCCTCCCAGAGTGAGCTCTCCTGGGGTCTAGCCCGATGACCCTCCCTGGGCAATCGGGCGGCAACGAGATGGCCAAGCAGCACTCTCATCTGACAGCAACCAGCTTTGTGCCTTCCTGTGCCTTCCTGACCGGTGATCCAGGTGTCCCTGAATGCCGGGCCTGGATGGACGTGGGCAGCCTGGAGAAGGCGCCTGATCGGGCTGGAGAGAACAGGCTGACCTGTGTGCAGAGCAGACACACGCCCCAGAGACCTGTGACCTGGGCCAGCCTCCCACCCCGTGGGGACTACTTAGGCACCGTCAATCAGGATGGGAACAGTTTACTGCTGTCCATCCCAGAGAGAAGAGATTATGCGCGCAGTTGGGGAAACTGAGGCACGGGGGCTGTCGGGAATCCACCAGCATCGCACAGCTCCTCGGGCCCCAGCCATCAGCCAGACCCGGCTTCCTGCCATCCGGTCCAGGAGCTCTGCCTCTTCCAGCACTTGCTGAGGCTGCCCCCTTGTGATTCCCAGTTTCCCAGGCGATGCCACACCAGCAGCAGCCCCAGGTCAGGGGTCGAGGTCCTGGTGAGAGGGCATCACCTCTGCCATCAGCCCTCACGCTCCTGCGGCTACTGCGGCCTCCCCGGCCTCCGCCAGGCCTTTTCAGTGCCCAGCCCTCCAGTCACCGGGCCTGGGCCCCTGTGGACCGCCCAGCCGGGTCCTCCAAAAGGGCCCCCACTCTGCGCCTGGGTCCATTGATCAGGAGTGGCTGAGGGGCTCCTAGCTGGGAAAGGGAGGGAGCCGGGAGGGGCGATCGGGGAGGGGGGGAGGAGGCTTTGCAACGTCAGAGCCTTCCCACCTGCCCTCCTCCCACACAGCACCACTCCTGGAGCTGGACAAGCCCGGCCAGCAGCCTGGTGCAGTCTGAGGGTGGTTTGGAGACGGGGGCCCTGCGTACCACAGGGCCAGAGTAGCCTGCCTGCAGAGACCAGGTGCCTGACTCCGGTGGAGAACCAAGACGTGAGTGATCGCTTGGAGGGAAGGACGGTCCCGCAGAGCTGAGCTGTGCCGCTGAATGGGCCGGGAGACCAGGAGCGTCTGACCACCAACCCAGCAGGCAGGGACTCCTCAGGTGACAGCTGCAGCTGGCCCGCACTGAGCAGGACTTCTCCAGGAGCCAACGTCCAGGCCGTCCCCATGGCAGGTACGGTGTAGGCAGCCGAGGTGGCCCCATGACTGGGCTCAGGCTCCAGGGTGAATGGGGCGGGGCAGGGACTGGGTGGGGGGACCAAAGAAACCCTTCTGGATCCAGGTCTTGGGCAAGAGGGTGGGGCAGGGGCACCCCACGCTAAGGCCTCAGATCCCACCAAGGCAAGGTTGATGGGCTCACAGCCGCCCATGTACAAATATGGGGGTGCTGATGGGCCGGGGTACAGAACCATTTCTGGGAAGGGAGAGCCTTCTCAGGCATGAGTGACCTTGGACCTGTCCCTTCCTCTCTCTGGGCCTCACCCATTGAGTATCAAGGTCTAACTTCCCCTCCAGACCTGGCTCCATGCTTGTGGGAAATTGTCAACTCCTGACCCCAAGGGATGCCAGCTTTTAGAGGAACCAGACAGAGAAGGGGCCCCTCCTGAGTTTCTGAGAGCACTCAGGGGTGGCACTTTGACCAAGATGGGCAGGGGGTGAGCTCATAGAAGACTTGGGAGCCAGTGACCAGCCCGTGAAGGCCCCAGACCCAGGGAAGCCATGAGCCTCTCCCCTGGGGACCCATGGACCCTTGGGGTTGTCATCAGTTACCCAGACGATAGACCTGCCTCAGCAGGGCAGCTGAACAACGGGCAGTGGCCCATGTGGTGGCCTGGTCCAGGTGGTGGGGACATCAGCCCGTCTACGCTTCATGCCCCTCTGGGAGATGCAGACCTGATGCGGTCCATCCCTCTCGGAAAGACCCCCACCCACTCCCGGGGCTTTTCATACGTGGCCCTCGGGGCTGAGAAATATGGGACCACAGGCCCTGAGCCCCACACTCCAATGAAGCACCTACTATGTGCCAGCTCTGGCCAGGCGCTGCCCACCTGTTAGCTCATTACACGTAGACCACCCCGGGAACCTCCCTCCACCCATCCCTCTATCCGTCCGTCCATCCATCCATCCAACACCAAAATCCACCTCTGCCCAGGGGATCTCAGTTCCACCAGGCTCTTGGCCACTTAGGGGGCTGCTAGAAACTAATAGTCCATTTTTCAGGATTTTTTTTTCTAGTTTTAATGTTTAACTTGTAAAACATACATAACATAAAAATTACCATTTGGGCCATTAAAAAAATATTTTTTTGTCTATTTATTTTTGAGAGAGAGAGAGAGACAGACAGCACGTGCAAGGGAGGGGCAGAGAGAGAAGGAGACACAGAATCTGAAGCAATCTCTAGGCTCCGAGCCCAACGCGGGGCTCGAACCCACGAACCGCGAGATCACGACCCGAGCCAAAGACGGATGCCTAACCAACTGAGCCACCCAGGGCCCCCACCCCCCATTTGAGCCATTTTTAAGTGTACAATTCGGTGACGTTAGGTACGTTCACAAGGCAGCCGTCGCCACCATCCGTCTCCAGAACTTTTGCATCTGGCAAAACTGAACCTCTGTCTCCATTAGACGCTCACTCCCTGTCCCCCTCCCTCCATCCCTGGCACCCACCGTTCTTCTTTCTGTCTCTGAAGCTGACTGTCGTAGGGACCTCTCACCCACGGAAGCACACGGGATTTGTCCTTTTGTGTCCGCCTGGCTTATTTCACTTAGCGTGACGTCCTCAAGGTCCACCCAAGTCACAGCACGCTGCAGAAGCCCCTTCGTGTTTGAAGCCGAAGACGGTTCCATTGTCTGGCTAGACCACGCCTTGCTTATCCATTCCTCCATCAGTAGACGCTTGGGTTGCTGTCACCTTCGGGCTGTCGGGAATCGTGCTGCTGTGAACACTCACGCACATGTCCCTGTTCAGGTTCCTGCTCTCGGTTCCTTTAGTGCATTTCTCCAGTTCTAGGTAACTCCCCAGAAGTGGCCTGGCCGGATCCTACACTCATTGTGTTTTTCACAGCAGAGGCTCCGTCTTGTACCCCATCAGCGATGCAGAGGGTTCCAATTTCCACACGCCTCCACCAACACTTGTAATTCCTTTCCTTTCCTTTCCGTTTCCCTTTTCTTTTTGGTAATAGCCATCCTCATGGGCGTAAGGTAGTGTCTTATTTTAGGTAGAATTTGCTTATTTTTATTTTTTATTACAAAAAATTTTTTTATATTTATTTATTTTTGAGACAGAGAGAGAGAGAGAGAGAGAGAGAGACAGAGCAGGAGTGGGGGAGGGGCAGAGAGAGAAGGAGACGTAGAATCCGAAGCCGGCTCCAGGCCTCGAGCGGTCAGCACAGAGCCCGATGTGGGGCTCCAACCCATAACCGTGAGATCACGACCCGAGCCGAAGTCGGATGTTCAACCGACTAAGCCATCCAGGCCCCCCAGGGTTTGTGGTTTGTTGTTTTTTTTTTTTTTTAAGGAGGGGAGAGGGTGGCAACATTTTTGGTCAAGGCTCGTGCCAGGATGGCACGTCAAGAAATGGAATGTTTATGGGGCGCAAGGTCAGACATGGGTGGGAGTCCTTGGTGGTGATTCGAGGATGGCCTCTCAGCTCAACTCTCCCAGAGCAGGACCAGGCACCAGGGTCTCTGCGGAGTGAAGACGCTCATTCCCGAACCCCCACGACCTCACATGTCCTACCATCGTAACAGGTGTCGTTTTTGAAGGGTGTGCCGGGCACCGTGTATGTCCTCGCAAATCCTCCCATCAGCCCTGCGAAGCGCGTATCAAGAACCCCTTGGGGCAGATATAGAAACTGAGGCTCTGAGAGACGGAACAATTTTGTTGCTCAAGGCCACAAGGCCACGTGACTTGATGGCTCGAAGATTCCCTGAGGAGCCAGGCAGTTCCTGTCTCTGGCCTCCAGGAGACTTAAGTCGGCATTTGCCTCGTGAAGTGATGCCCCGTCAGGGATACTATGGGAACACAGGCCTGGCAGTCAGGGAGGGCTCCCTGGAGGAAGAGGCACCTAGGTGCAGCCGGAAGGACGAGAGCCGGCTTGGTGGCACGGGGGTGAGGCTCACGCTTTCCTCCTCTCTCCCCAGCCTTCCTCTCTGCCGGCCTCGGGGTACTCGCAACCTCGGAGCCCTACACCCTGACCAGCTCCAGCTGGGAGCCCCGGCTGGACTCCCCATTCCCGTCAGACCCTCCCACCGGGGCCCAAGTCGTGGCCGAGCCCGGCAAGCAGGGCCCCAAGAACCCGCGTGTGTCCAGCGTGACGGTTCAGCTGGAGATGAAGGCTCTGTGGGAGGAATTCTACCAGCTGGGCACGGAGATGATTGTCACCAAGGCAGGCCGGTGCGAGCAGCGGGCGTGTGCGTGGGGGGGACAGGGGGCCACGGTGGGGCCGCCCTTGGGCTGCTGAGCGCCGCCCTCCTGCAGGAGGATGTTTCCCACCTTCCAGGTGAAGATTCTGGGCATGGACACGCTGGCTGACTATGCACTGCTCATGGACTTCGTGCCTCTGGACGACAAAAGATACAGGTCTGGGGGCCGGCCAGGGGAGGCAGTTGGGACAGCGGGGCGGGGGGGGGGGGGGGGGCGGGGCCAGGAAGTCGACCCCTACCTGCACCCTGGGGTGAGCCAGGGGCCCGTCGGAGCCGTGAGCGGGGAGGCCTCCCCTGGGGCAACGGCGGAAGCCTGAGGCGGGCAGTGGGCTAGCCTGGGCAGGGAGAGCGGGCTAGCCCACTGCGGCCACCGGGCGCTCGAGGCCAGACAGCGTCCTTGGGGTCTCTGGTTCCTCGCGTGTGAGATGGGGGTGGAGCAAGGGCCGCGATGGAGACGGCGAGAGCCCCTTGGCCCCGCCGGTCTTCAGGGCAGGGGCAGCAGATGCGGGGCCGTGGGGGCGGACGGGGCGCCCTTCCCACTCGCTCTGTCCCCAGGTACGCCTTTCACAGCTCAGCCTGGCTGGTGGCGGGCAGAGCAGACCCGGCCACGCCCGGCCGGGTGCACTTCCACCCGGACTCGCCGGCCAAAGGGGCACAGTGGATGCGCCAGATTGTGTCCTTTGACAAGCTCAAGCTGACCAACAATCTGCTGGACGACAATGGCCACGTGAGGCCCCGGCCACAGCGGGGAGGGGGCAGGGCAGGGCTGGGGACACTGGGGCCTGATTATAACGAAGCCTGGAGCCAGGGCCGGCTGTGACTTTGGCGCCCAGCGTCCCCACCTGCTACTGGCGGCTAACGCTGGGGGCCAAGTTCACCCGGCCAGGGGTTGGGCAGCAGAGGGGACTGCCCGAGCAGGGGGCGGGAAGTGAGAATGTTCCAGCAAACACTATCCTCCTCGTAGACAGTGTGTATGGAACGCCGTTGCAGGGGAAGGAACAAGTGCAAAGGCCCTGGGGCTGCAGAATGTTAGGCCCGTTGGGAGAAGTGCAAGGAGGCTCCCCACGTGGCGGAAGTGGGGTGTGTAGGGGAGATGGGAGGAGAGAGACCCTAGAGGCTGCCAGGGCTGGTCTGCGGGGCCAGTCGGCTGCGGAGAGAGTTCCGGCTTCTACTCTGTGTGGTGGCCACAGGAGGGTTTTGAGCAGGGGGTGGCACGCCGCAGCTCGCTGGGGCTGCGGTGTGGAGAATAGACAGCACAGCTGGACGGGAGCAGGGACGCTGGCCAGGAGGCAGTGGGGTGGGAGAGGTGATCAGATTCTGGATATTTCTGAAGGCGGAGCTGACGGCGGGATGTGGGTGTGAGAGAAGGCAAAGTGGCAAAATGCTCAGACGCCACAGGGCCTTTGATGCAGAACCGTGGGCCCTCGGGACCAGACTCTGCGCCCCCGTTATAAGAAAGACAGCTGTTCTGCCCCGGAGAGAAAGGCTTAGCCCAAGGGAAGGTTTGCTGCTGCTCCGCCACACCCCCGAACACTGCCTTCCGCACCCCGCCCCCCCCCCCCAGATCATTCTCAACTCCATGCACCGCTACCAGCCCCGATTCCATGTGGTCTTTGTGGACCCACGCAAGGACAGCGAGCGCTACGCCCAGGAGAACTTCAAGTCCTTCGTCTTCACGGAGACCCAGTTCACGGCCGTGACAGCCTATCAGAACCACCGGGTGGGTTGGGACCACAGCTCACGAGGCAGCTGCCAGCCCATTTCACAGGGATGGAGACTGAGGCCCAAAGCTCTGAGCTCAGAGCCTTGCCCTTCTCTCCTTCCCTACGACTCAGCAGACTTCTGCCCTCGGTCATTCCCCTGCCTTCACGCCCACTGACTCTGTGGCTCCTGGGCTGAGGGCCCGGGTCCCAGGGCCTCCTGACTGGGGGGTTCAGGGAAGACAGGGTGGCTGAACCTGGGACCCCACAGCCTCGCCCTGGCTCAGGGTTGGCCCATAACTGCACTTTCTCCTCTGCAGATCACCCAGCTGAAAATCGCCAGCAACCCTTTTGCCAAGGGCTTTAGGGAGAGTGACTCAGACTCCTGGTACTGTGTGAGCCCAGCTGCCCCAACCCAGCCCCTCACCCCCATCTGCACTGTCTCCTAAGGCCTCGGGTCCTGCCCTTCTCTCTGCTTCCTGCCCACTGACTGGTCCTGGGGTCCCACGGCCTGACTGATCATGATCCTTGACCTGGGCTCTCCCCTGTGACCCTCTGCCTCCATTCCTGTTCGTCCCGTCTCCAGGACTGTCCCTCCACGAGCCCTGCTCAGCATCCCGACCCGGAGTCACAGCGGCCTCGGCCCCTGCCTGCTGAAGGGCTCCACAGAGGAGGGAGCAGGTCAGCCTCCAGGCTTACAGACACAGTGGGACCAGAGCCTGCATGATGGGCAGGAAGCGAGGACACAGGGCCACACGGCCTCCGGGAAGGGGCTTCAGCACGTCCAGCAAGCCCACTGGGCACCTGTGTGGACAAAGAGGAGGAGGCAGAGAATTCTGAGGCAGTTTGGGGCCAAGGGCACAGAGAACAGGATGGGGACAAGGTGCTAAGAGCAGGGGTGGGAGGTGTCAGACGGGCTTCCTGGAGGAAGTGGCTCCTGAGCTGGGCCTTGAAGAACTGGGAAGGGTTTGGACGGCAAGAGATGGCAGGGAAGAGCGAACGAAGAGAGAACAAGAGTGAAGGCTGAGGGGGGGCAGCTTGGGATGGGAGCAGGGGAGGAGGAGGGGAGGCTGAGGCTGTGAGGGAAGGTCCGGGGTCCACGCAGACCATGTCCTCCCTCAGACTCCCACAAAGCTCCAGTCTCCAACTCCAGGACCTCCGCCCGGCTGCAACATCAGCTGCTGGCCCCCCCTGAGGCTCTGCTGGCCCCAGCCACCTACCAGCCCCTCGCCTACCAGGGCCTGTACCCTGGAGCCTCAAGCCCCCTCAGAATCCCAAGGGCCCGACCAACACCATACCCCCTCCCCAATGTCCAGAACGACAGAGATCGGGAGAGCCTGCCCCTCCCAGCTAGGCTGGGGCTCCTGTCCCCCACGGCCATGTGCTTGGGGACTGTCCAGGACCCTCAGTGATGATGACGGCCCTGTGCACAGACTCCTCTTACCCTGAATACTACCCCTGCTGCCTCACCTCTGCGGAGGCCCTCTTCCCTCAAGGATAGAAGGGCAGGTGGAAGCCCAGAGAGACAGGCTACCTGCCCAGAGTCACAGCAAGGCCGAGAAGATGCCAGGCTTGGAACCAGCCGCCCCCCCCCCCCCATACATGTCCCCTTCTGCCTTGGGGGTAACTCCTCTCAACCCTGCTTTACCTCTCCTTTTCCCCCAACATTAAACCATTTGGCATGAGTAGTCAGAGCACTTCTGTCCTCGGGGGTCGGGGTGGAAGGACTCAGGAACACCCAGACCCCAGAGACGGCTGCAGACATTCCAGAGCTCTGCCCGGTGCCGGTGGTATCGCTGGGAGCACAGTGATGGTAAAGATGCCAACACCGGCCAAGGGGCAGCGCTGTGAGTGAGGCTGCAGGCTCTGCTCCCGGCCTTAGCGTGCCCAGCTGAGGACTGAAACTGCAGCTCGAAGAGGCACCTGCTCAAAGTCAATGCAAAGCATTGGCGACACCGGCCATTCCACTATAGGTGCTGTGCACAACTGGGGTGGTCTGGTCCGCGAGAAGCCAGGGTCTGGAGGGATGCAGAATCGTGATGGGCAGTGACCACACGGGCCAGGCCAAGTGGGGGGTAGAGGGAGGGGCTTGAGCATCCAATCAAGACTCGACGCAGGACAGCTTCCACAGAAGAGTGACATTTAAACCTACACCTAAAGGAGTAGAAATTGAGAGCGAGAGGGAAGGGGAGGAGGGAAGACAAGCTCCCAGCGGTGGGAAAAGCAGGGCAAAGGCCTGGGGCTGGAGTGGGTCCCTTGGAGCGGGAGGGCACGGCGCGCGCCACCCAGAAGAACCAGGAGAGGGGCCCAGAGCGGGGCCGGGCTAGGCACTCCTCCCGCAGCCCCTGATGTCCCCGGCCTCCGGGAGGCGCGCTCCGTGGACCCCCTAAATGCCGACTCCGAACATCCTGGAGCACTGCGCGTGAGGTGCTTAGGAAAGGGACGGGCACACGCGGGCGTGGAGGGACGCGGGGTCCGGCGAAGCCTCGAAGCCTGACGCCCGGGATCTCGAACCCAGCTGTCACAGAGCTGGGTCCGGAAGCCGCCGAGACTCGAGTACCGCGAGCTACCGACTCCAGGCTCTCTGACACCCTCCCTCGAAACCACCAATGCCAGCTCCGCCCTCGGCCCAGGCCCGCCCCTTCTGCCGGAAGCCCGAGACAGGGGGCCCCGCCCCTTCCGGACCCGCCCCACCAACTCGCGTCGAGGCCGCTCCCTCGGGCCCCGCCCACGGCCCTCTGGCCCCCAGAGCCCCGCCCCCTCCCGCCGAGGCCCCGCCTCTTGTGCGGGTCTCGCCCCCAAGGGCACAGCTGACGCCGCTTCGGAGCCCCGCGGGGCGGGGCGGGGCGACTCCTCCCGCGGCCCCGCCCAGCTTCCCCGGAGACCCCGAGGGCGAGTGCTGCCTGCCCCGCCCCTTCCTTCGCCCGGCGTGGCGCCCTCGGTGTCCCGGGTGCGCCCGGCCCGACATGCCGCCCCACTGCCTGTCAGCGGAGGACGAGCAGCGCTGCCGGCGGCTGCTGGCAGGGGCCACTGCCCGACTCCGCGCGCGGCCCGCGGCGGCCGCCGTGCTCGTGCCGCTGTGCTCGGTGCGCGGGATCCCAGCGCTGCTCTACACGCTGCGGTCCAGCCGCCTGGCCGGGAGGCACAAGGGCGACGTCAGGTACACGGCCGGGAGCTCCTCGCTCTACTGAGAGGAGGCCGCCGAGTCCCGGAGACCGCAGGGACCTGAGCGAGGCGCTTCGCCTGTCCGAGTCTGGGTTTCCGCCTCTATGGAATGGGTCTGGGGAGAGCCGCGCCCCGAGTCTGGCGCCGTGGGTGCCAGCCCGGACGCCACGCCGGACCCCTCGAAGCGCGTCCCGCACCAGCTCAGGACGGGGACACTTCTCGGAGCTGTGCCCGTGTTTCTAAAAAGGCGGGACCCCGCCCCCTGCCGGCGACTCTGGGGAGATTCGGGTCCCGGAGCCGACGAAGCTCGCGGGTGGGGTGAACTGCCTGGCTTCCCGCCCTGGCCCCGCCCCTGTCCCGTCGGGAATTAGGGACACGCTAGGGTCATAGCGCCACTGGGGCCACCATAAGCAAAATTGGCGTGTGTGAGCCCCAGGGCCTCTCCCTTACCCCTATCGTTTAGGGAGGTAAACCGAACCTGGAGAGGTCACGTGGCTTGCGGGAGGCCCACGACAAACTAGGGGCAGAGACAAAAGATGCTTAGGTGGGTGATCAGCTCTCCGCACAGCCGTCACCCTCACCCGCCATGGCCCCAACAGACCAAGGACCGGGCCACCTGTGCTTGTTCAGTTTCCCAGGTGGCAAGTGGGACCCCACTGACCAGGACGTGGTGCACACAGCCCTGAGGGAGACCCGTGAGGAGCTGGGCCTTACTGTGCCTGAAGAGCATGTGTGGGGCATCCTGCAGCCTGTGTATGACCAGGTAAGGCTGCCAGGCCCTGAGGCCACCGCCAGGGGCAAGGAGAGCGGGCCTGGCCTCTGGTGGAGCTCCAGACACCTGCATCCCCGCACAACCTTTCAGAGAGGGGTATCTTAGCCCCTTATCGTGGGAGATACTGAGGCTCAGGTCCTGGGCCGGAGGTGGCCCCAGGATAAGCCAGCTCTGCCCAGCTTGCTGGAGGAGGGTGGGGGAAGGCTTCACAGGGTAGGCAGGGATTGAATGACAAGTGGGAGATTTCAGGGTAGTAAAGGTCAGGGAAGGTTATTCTAAGCAGAGGGAACAGTCTGCAAAGGCCCAGAGGACTGAATGGCTCCAGTGAGTTTGAGGGGCCAGTAGCTAGTCGGCGTGGCTGGAGTGAGCTCGAGGGCAGGGGCCAGGTGCACCCGACCTCCAATACTGAAGGCCTCTGGATGGCGAGGTGGAGTCTTCCTCTCGGGCTCCCCTCCCCCGCCCCAGAGCCCCGCCAAGGCCGCGCCTCCCCTGACTGCCTGCCACCTTCCTGCCCCAGCAAAAGACCACCGTGGTGCCAGTGCTTGCCGGTGTGGGCCCCCTGGATCCCCAGAGCCTCAGGCCCAACCCCGAGGAGGTGAGTGGGGAGAGACGGTGGGGGCCAGGTTGTTCCACGCAGGGGAGGCTGCGGCAGCAGGTCCCGGGTCTACCCTCTCGCTGCCTCCCGCCCACAGGTGGACAAGGTGTTTGCCCTACCCCTGGCCCACCTGCTGCAGGAGCAGAACCAAGGCTATACCCACTTCTGCCAGCGTGGCCACTTCCGCTACACTCTGCCCGTCTTCCTGCACGGGCCACACCGTGTCTGGGGTCTCACGGCCATCATCACAGAGTTCACCCTGCAGCTGCTGGCGCCCGGTGCCTACCAGCCCCGCCTGGCCCTCCCTAAGTGGTCCACGGGCTGAAGGCCTGGCCGTAAGCAGCACCCTTCCTCCCCCCTGCTAGGCCAGCTCCATTCCGGGACTGAATAAAGAGCCTTGACCCATTCTGTGGCCACTGCATCTCGTGCGCTGACCTTGAGCAGACCCCGTGGGACAGCTGGCTCCTGGCTGGGGTGCCTCTGTCCAATCACAGTGTTACCCCCTGGACAGTGGGCACTTAACACTTGGCCCTTACCACAGCCCTGAGGCGGGGCAGTGCTGGCCCTGGCTGGTGAGACTGGGGCTCAGAGAGAAGAGACACCTTGCCCCAGGTCACCCCGAGCTAGGATCTGAACCAAGCCCTCCCTGGCTCCAGCGCCCAGACCCAGCCACTCCCCTGCAGCTCCTGTTCTCTGCTCTGCGTCTAGCTGACCCCGTGCCAGCCCGCAGGAATCCAAAGAGGAGCCCTGTGTCACTACAGAGTTCCAACACGCCGAACTCCTGCCATGCGCCGGGCACTGTGCTGGGGCCATAGCTTCGGACCAGCCAGAGGCTGCCCTGGCCTCTGGGGGTGACTCAGTCCAGGGAAGACCTCAGAGCAGGCCACAGAGATAATCATGTGATTGTACGTTAACTAATCACAGGTAATAGTGGAATTAATGATACATCAGTTATGTAGAGCAGAGAGAGCGAGGATAAAGCAGTCTGACCCTGTCACGGTGGACTCGGCAGTAGTATTAGCCGGGACAGGTGACAGGAAACTCCCCTCACCAGCTGCCTTCACCAAAAGAGGCTAGCTTCAGGCATGGCTGGATCCAGGGGCTCAGGGGCTCTCCCTCTTACTGTGCTTTCTACTGTGCTGGCCTCACCTTTAGAGGATCTCTACTCTGCCGGGATGAGAAGTGAGGAGAGGGCAACGGCTCTCGGACGGCACAGCATTAGCCTCCCATCAACAGAAAACAGAGCTTCTGTCTCTGGCCATCCAACCCAGAATTGTACTTCGTTGGGCCTCCCCGAGCCTGTCACATGGCCTGCTGTCTTTGGAATTCCCTAGGCGGCAGGGTCTGGGGGCACAGTCCCAGGGAGGAGGAAGAGCCTCCCAGACTGACTATGGAAAGGGCAGTCCCCGCAGGACTGCTGGGAAGAGAGAGAAGGGAAGGTGGAGCAGGTAAAAAAGCAGCCAGGTTCCCCTACAGAGTGACCTTGAAACCAAAGGCGAGCAAGAACAGGCCGCGTCAAAGGGCACAGGGGGGGAGTGGGGGCAGAGGGAGCAGCACACGCACAAAGTTTGGGGTCCTTGAGGAAACAAGATGAACAGGGCGGAGAGTCGGGGAGGGGCCCCGCCACTCAGGGGCCACCATAGTGTGCCAAGGGGACGTTCTTCAGTGGTGACTTAGGATTTTGTTCGGGGGGGGGGGGGGGGGGGAAGGGGAGAAAGGTGTGAAGTGATGTGATTCCTGTCTTAAAAAGCTTGAACTTGAGCTGCAGAGAACCAGACTGCGGGTGCCCCCCCTCCTCCTCCCCTCCTCCTCCTCCCCCTCCCCTCCTCCTCTTCCCCTCGGCCCCCTCCCCACTCCACCCCTCCCAAAGTGTCCCCCACACTGCTACCCACTCCTGCCCACCTCCCCCTACATCCCTCCCTCCCTCCCTCCTCACCTATCCCTTCCTTCACAAGCCCCTCCCATTGCCCCTCCCACTTCACACCCCCTGTGTCGCCTCTGGCCCTCCAGACTCCTCAGATGACAGCAGGGCGCATGATGGTGGTAAAAATAACTCATGGTGTGAAGGGGGAATGAGGAAGGAGGGAGGCTGAGCCCCAAGGGACCCCTGGGGTTGAGGGCAGAGGAGTGCCAGCCTCCTGAGCCCAGGAGATGGACTCTGACCCCGCCCCTTCCCCCTCCCTCACTGCTTCTGGGAGGCTCTTTGCTCACAGTCTTGCTCGAGGGTCATCCCAGTCTGGCTTATACTCAGCGAACCAAACCAAGTGGACGAGCTCACGGAGCGGTGAGTAGCCCAGCCGGCCTGACTGCCAGCCCACAGGCGCCCTCCTTCGGGCCGGAGCCCCCCACTTCTCCCCCACCCCACCTACTTGGACCCTGCATTCTGTCCTTCTGTCCTCAGGTCCTGGCTGCCACCCAAGATTCCCCCCCATGCTCTCAGGGATGCCTCTTCACCCTGGCTCCTTGGCCCGCTGCGTTCCCCCCGTCTCCAGTTCGTGGGGGCTTCTCTGAGTCCCCGCCCCCACGTCCAAGCCCCCATGGCAGGCGCAGCAGCAGGGAGCCGGGGGCGGCCACAGCGGGTGAACATGCAGGAGCACATGGCCATCGACGTGAGCCCCGGCCCCATCCGGCCCATCCACCTCATTTCCGACTATTTCCCACACTTCTACCCCTTCGCTAAGCACACTCTAAGCGCCCCAGACCCACACCCTGCAGTGATCCCTGCCATTCGCTCTGCACCCCGGCAGCGGGCCGATCCAGAGCCAGAGGGAGATTCAGATGACAGCAGTGAGTGGGGACGGGGGACGAGGGGAACGCTCCTGGCCCAGCCCAGCCAGGGTAGGGTTTGGGGCCTCCCAGGCATCTGACCAGGGAGGGGCAGGGCGGGAGGCATAGTGCCATTTGGGGGGTGGGGAGGGGGTCGAGGCAGGAGCTGACCCTGCCTACCACCTCCTGTTAGCTGCCCTGGGCACCCTCGAGTTCACGCTTCTTTTTGATGCGGACAACAGCGCCCTGCACTGCACGGCTCACCGGGCCAAGGTGAGGATGAGGGCAAGGGTCTACGGGCGGAGGGCCTGGGCCACAGACCTGCCCCACATTCGTGGTCTCTTCTTAGGGTCTCAAGCCACCAGCCTCAGGCTCTGTGGACACCTATGTCAAAGCCAATCTGCTGCCAGGAGCCAGCAAGGTGAGGGTGAGACCCAGACCCCTATCGATGCTCTTTGGCCGCACCCCAGCCTGGAACACCCACCTGGCCCTGCAGTGCCCCGCCCCCCAAAGCCTGGACATCAGGCATGGAGCTTCCCATTGTAGGGATGTGCAACTGGGGGCCCACCAGGCAGGTGAGCCAGGGTGGGGCCCTGGGGCCCAAGGAGGTCCTGATCCCCCCTCCCTGGCCCCTAGGCCAGCCAGCTGCGGACTCGCACAGTTCGGGGCACAAGGGGGCCTGTCTGGGAGGAGACGCTCACCTATCACGGCTTCACCCGCCAGGATGCTGGGCGAAAGACACTGCGGTGAGGACAGGGCCGGGCCTGGGCTGCGAGGGGGCAGGGCCGAGGTGGGGGGGGCGGGGCTTGCTCGGCCAGGTTTGACCAGGGCGGCCCCCAGGCTGTGTGTGTGTGAGGACCCGCGGCTGCGGCGACGGCGGGGGGCGCCTCCCCTGGGGGAGCTGCGGGTGCCCCTGAGGAAGCTGGTGCCCAACCGAGCCAGGAGCTTCGATGTGTGTCTGGAGAAGCGGAAGCTGGTGAGTGGGGCTGACACAGATTGGGGTGGGGATCAGGATCCTTGTGGTGGGGAAGCTGGAAAGGGGACAAAGAGGGAGACCCTGGGCGGTGTCTGGCCAAGGTGACCAAGCTCTCTGCTCTTTCAGACCAAGAGGCCCAAGAGTCTGGACACCGCCCGTGGCATGTCCCTGTATGAGGAGGTGGGTAGGACGGTGGGACCAAGCAGGGATGGGAGGCCCTGGGCCCCATAGCCCTAGGGAACAGCCAGGCCCCAGTGGCTGGGCAGGGGTGTGACTCCCCCCCCCCCCCCCACCCCTCTCCACCAAGGCAGCCCAGAACAGCTATTGGGCACTGGGACAATCAAGGCCCTCAGGGGGCAGAGATAAAGCCCGGCTTGAAGCAGAGGCTGAAACTGATGGGATCCACCCATAGCCCAAGTTGGGAGGGCAGGTCAAGGTCCAGGAGAGAATGGACAGCAGGATAGGGCATTGTGGACGCCACTCCTGGGGCTTGTAGCCCTAGATAAGCTCTTGTCAGCAGGCAGAGGTGCTTGCAGGGGGCCCCAAGCCAATGACCAAAGACCTCCGGCTCCGCTCCGCCTCCGCTCCCGGCGGATGGAAGGGCCACATGCTACTGCCCTGCCCCCTGGTGGAGCCACAAGTTGCCGCGCCTGCCACTTAGCCAAGGCCAGGCTGGCGAGTCCTACCCAGGTGGGGCAGGCACCCCGAGACGGGCACTTCCTGTCCCAGACCCCACACGCGGCCGCACCGCTGCGCATGGCAGGTGCTTACCGAACCCTCCCTTACTGAGGAGCCGGTGAGAAAGGTGGCTGGGCTTTCTGTAAACGGAATCCTCCGTGAGGTGTGGGAGAAGCGCGTTCTTCCTGAACATCCTCCCAAGCCCTTTGCAAGCACCAGGGGCTGAGGGTGGCAAAGGACATTCAGAATCTGGTCCCTTGGGTGGTGCGGGGTGAAGAGGGTGGTTTTTGTAGCTTTAGTGACCTGTATGTCATCGGGTAGAGGAGCACAGCCTCTCGGAGCTGCTTCTGTGACACAGGGGGAGGGTGGTGATGGGCGCTTAGTGAGACGCCACTCGGGAAGCTCCTCGCATGTTTGTGGCCTTCAGACACCAGCACCCTTCCCCTCCGTGACGAAGACGCACTGTGCTCACCAGTCACGTGGCCTGAGCAAGCCCCTCGCCTTCTCAGGCCCTGGAGGCTACAGCTGACCGGAAAGTTCCCTTCCAGGGCACCGGGCCAGGGACTGTTTTGGGAAACTCATGACATGAAGTTGTTGGTCCTCGGTTGCTTTGCAGCCAGCTCGAGTTGTCACATCCGGGCTAACACCGGTGGGTGGGTGGGCTTTGGGCTGCAGTTGGCTGACCACAGCCTACCCCGCAGGAGGAGACGGAGGCAGCAGGGGACGAACGCGGGCGCATCCTGCTGTCACTGTGCTACAGCTCCCGGCAGGGCGGCTTGCTGGTGGGTGTCCTGCGCTGTGCCCACCTGGCCCCCATGGATGCCAATGGCTATTCGGACCCCTTCGTCCGCCTGTGAGTGAAGGGGGGACAGGTAGGTGAGCCGTGGGGGCTCCCCAGAGCCCCTCTCCAGGGCCATCCCTAACCTGACCCCATCCTTCCCAACCAGTTTCCTGCATCCGACCGTGGGGAAGAGACGTAAATACAAGACCAGTGTTCGGAAAAAGACCCTGAACCCCGAGTTCAATGAGGTAGGCCGGGGTCCGGTGGAGGCGGTCCCGGCTGCCCCGGGGCGGGGAAGGTCAGCGTTCTGCCTCAGTCAGAAAGCGCAGGTCCCACCTGACCTCACCTGCCTGAGCCTGTTTCTGAACCTGTAAAGGACCTGAGGCGCCCCCCTTCCTGCATTTCTGCCCCCTCCCCTGCAGGAATTCTTTTATGCAGGCCCAAGGGAGGAGCTGGCCCAGAAGACACTGCTAGTGTCTGTATGGGACTATGACCTGGGCACAGCTGACGACTTCATTGGTGAGTGAGAATGCAGGGGAGCGGGCTGGCGGGGGCGGGGGGCGGTGGGAGGGGGGCAGCGGGTTCCGACGTGGCTCCTGATTTCTGCTCCCCAACCCAGGCGGGGTGCAGCTGAGTAGCCACGCCAGCGGGGAACGCCAGCGGCACTGGTGCGAGTGCCTGGGCCGCAGTGACTGCCGACTGGAGCTGTGGCACCCGCTGGACGGTGCGCCCCCCCAGCTCAGCGACTAGAAGGGGTACCCGGCCCGGCCCCGCTCACCACCCTCCCCCAAACTGACCCACAGAGCCGGGAGGACCTGGAGCTGCCTCACCCACCATGCCCAGCCCCACGTCAAACTGTTTGTTCCCTTACCCCCGCGTCCAAGTTCACCCCTCTGCCAACCATGAAGAATAAACTTCCAAACCAGGCCAGACAGAGCCTGTTCCCTTCGCTGCCCGTCGCCTCACCGGGCAGACTGGGCCCCGTTCTTGCTCCCATCCTCCAGATGCCCACAGAGGGCCAGGCCCAGGGCTGGACCCCAGGCCACCGCTTCCCCCTCATCACGCTGGGAAGGCCCGCCCCCGCCCCCGCCCCCTGCACTGAGGGAAGGGCGCTCAGGATGGTCTAGGGCAGACTGACCCACCGGAAGCCAAGCTGTGGGCTCATGACATGACCTTGAGCTGACCTATCCCCCCTCCCCACAAGAGACCCACGTGGCGTATGGGAAGCCTCCCGCTCTGGGACACAGACCTCCCCGAGTAATGGGCCACAGTGGCAGAGCGACGAGAAAGACCACAGAAAAGACGCAGCAGGAGACTGGGCAGCACTCGCTTTATTGTTCAGCCATCTGGACGGACAGACAGACGTCAGCCCAGGGCAGCGGGATCAGGAGGCAGCTTGCCTGGCCTGGTGCTGCCGGGCAAACCTCTGCATCCGCTCCTCGAGCTCTGGCCGGAAGTGGCGGATCAGGCCCTGGGGGAGGGTGGGGGGCACCGTGTGAAGCGGAGCTGAAAATCCCAACGCCCTAGGCTCTCAGCACCCCCACCCTAGTGCCCCATGGCAGGGCAGGGAGTACCTGCACGGGCCAGGCAGCTCCATCACCCAGGGCGCAGATGGTATGGCCCTCTATCTGCTTGCTGATCTCCCAGAGGGAGTCGATCTCGGCCGGCCGGGCATCCCCCTTCACGAAGCGGGCCATCACCTTGTTCATCCAGTCCACACCTGCAGCCGTGGCAGCAAGAGAAGGCCCAATGACGCCAGCCAGGGTGCACCCCTGTGGCCCTCGAGGGGTGCAGGCCACAGAGAGGGTGGGGCCGGGAGAGGCCAGAGCCGGCTGGGAAGCAGCAGCTGCACACTGAGTGTCTGGAGCCCAACCAACCTCCATCCTCTGCCTGACCCAGGCCTAGGGTGAGCCTCAGAGGAAGCCCCCGCCCTGCCCAGGGTGCGTACCCTCGCGGCATGGGGTGCACTGGCCACAGCTCTCGTGCTTGTAGAACTCAATAAGGCGGGCGATAGCTTTCACAATATCCGTCTGGGGTGACAAGAGACAGTGAGGAGTCACCCGGGGCCAGAGCCTCAGCCCGCCCAGAGCAGCGCCCCGTCCCCCCACCCCAATTCCAGCAAACCCCCTCCCCAATTCCAGCAGCATTCTGGCCACCTCCTCCCCTGTCCCTGGGCATGCGGCACTGCCCAGACCCCTCTCTAGGCATTCTCTCCAGGGAAATTCTCTCCCACCTGACTGTATCTCAGGTCACACGAACTGGGATCCAAGAGCTGGGATCCAGGGAGGAGTACTGACCGGGTGGACACGAGGAGGCAGGGACTGGGTGGGGAGCGTGGGCAGCCCTTACCGAGCGGTCCATGACAATCACAGCAGCCGTGCCCAGGCCCGTCTGCGCCTGCACCAGCGCGTCAAAGTCCATCAGCACCGTCTCACACACGGACTTGGGGATCAGTGGTGTGGATGAGCCGCCGGGGATCACAGCAAGGAGGTTGTCCCAGCCACCTGTGACACCTCCTGGGGCCCCGGTCCATCCCCAAAAGGATGGATGGTCAGGGCTGGGACCGCCACACCTGAGTAGTCCTGAGCCCAGGCCCTCTGTCAGCCCCCGCCCAGCGCGGCCTCCCACCCTGGCTCTCTTCACGGACATCCTGCCCCACTCCGGCCCCGGTTGGCCCCTTGGCTCACCCGCATGCTTTTCAATCAGTTCCTTCAGTGGTACAGACATCTCTTCCTCCACAGTACAAGGGTGGTTGACGTGGCCAGAGATATTGAACAGTTTGGTGCCCGAGTTGCGCTCACGACCAAAGCTGGCAAACCACGCACCCCCACGACGGCAGATGGTGGGGGACACAGCCACCGTCTCCACGTTGGCCACGGTTGTGGGGCAGCCAAACACTCCTGTAAAGGAATGGGATGAGACCAGTGGCTGCCAGAGGGTGGGGACAGGGTAGATCAGGTTTCCCAGCAGTGGGGTCTGTCCCAGGGTCGTGCTCTGTGGCACAGCCCCCCTTCACCCTTTGGTCATTCCCATCCCCCTGTGGACCCCAAACTCTAGCAGGCGCTGCATTGCCTTTTCACCCCTCTACTCTTAGTCCCTGGGGGGGCTAGAGAGGACCTGAGGACTGGGACAGGGAAAGGGACTACAGATGGAACCTCTACATTGTCACCCACCCTACTCTGTGTCTGGCCCCCAGTCCAGAAGGAACTCAGAAATCCCCTAAGAATGACCAATGGGGACCGGAAGACATGAGGTTCCACAGGATGCAGCACAAGGCCCAGGACCGGGCCGGGTCTTACCCACATCGGCAGGGAAGGGCGGCTTCAGGCGGGGCTTGCCCTGTTTGCCCTCGATGGACTCAATGAGCGCCGTCTCCTCCCCACAGATGTAGGCCCCGGCCCCACGCACAACAAACACATCAAAATCGTAGCCGGAGCCACAGGCGTTCTTGCCAATCAGACCAGCCTCATAGGCCTCTCGGATGGCCACCTGTGGGACAGAAACGTGAGGGTACCATCCCCCCAGCCTGGGAACACGGTGTGCTGGGGAGGGGTACAGGCCCACTGAGCCCATGTTCACCAAAACCCAGGGATAAAGCTCCCTTTGGACATAACCAGAGGATGCTCTGGGAGAGGGGTGGGATTTTTACGTTTATGCTACTTTTGTAATAACAACACTGAACAAATTCTTCACCTATATGCATTTTTAGAAGACTAAGGGAATAATGAAAATTTTCATAAGCACTTTCCTACAGGTGGTGGATCTGTGGGAGGTTTTTCTGCGTGTTGTGTACACGTGCAGTTTCCTATCTTTACAATGAGCAAGTCCTACTTCTGCAGGAAAGGAAAAGACCCCAGGGGTTTGTTTCTAAATACGTAGTAATAACACTTATACACAAAGCTACGATGTGCCAGGCGCCGTCCCAGGTGCCGTTTCCATTTCCCTTGTCGCTGCCGTACAGGAGCCTAACAGAAAGGTGTGAGACTCTGGCCCTGGACCAGTCACTACAGGCATCACTGAGCTGAGAACCGCTGAAATGACCCCTTGGCCCTTCTGCGGGAAAAATGCCTGTAAGCCCACCCCTGCCCCAGGAATCAGAGAGCCCGGAAAGCCTCCCGAGTTGAGGCTTCGGAACGTGTCCAAAGAGCCCAGAGGAGGCTCTGGGGGCCACGTTCCATTAACAATGCATGCAGCAGGGGTAACTACTCTTCCGGGTCGAGCCCAGACAGATCAGGGGCTACAATCGAAGAACCGTGCCAGGAAGCCAGCATGTGAGCGCACCCTCTCCTCTATTGAGTCTCCTCCCCTTTCCCACCTGCAGATTGGAGGCCTCGTTGTAGAATTCCCCTCGGATGTAGATGTAGGCAGCACGGGCGCCCATGGCCCGGCCCCCAACTAGGCAGCCTTCCACCAGCTTGTGGGGATCGTGGCGAATGATCTCCCGGTCCTTGCAGGTGCCCGGCTCCCCTTCATCTGCGTTCACGACTAGATACTTGGGCCTGTAGGTTCCAGCAGATCCGTAAGGCCACAGGGCCACCAGGGCTGGGCCTTCAGCTACATGCCACCCCACTCCGCCCAAGGAAGCCTCAAAGATGTCTCCTCCGAGAGCCAATCCCTCCCTGTTCTCCCAACACATTCCTAGCGGCTCTGCTGGCTCACAGTCAATGACATCGAGCTCACTGCCTATTACGCCTTTGGGTGGCTAAGACCACAGGAAAGGTCTTTGTTATGCTCAGTCCAAACGTCTCCTTGTGCTTTCCAAGAGCCCAAATCCTGCTCTTGGTCACAAAGAACCTTCCTGAACCTCTGCCATATCTCTGGGGCCAAAAGGAGGTGAAATAGCTGACATTTATCATTTGCTTTCTATGTGCTGACCAATGTGAGGGGCAAAAGCTTTGTGAACACTCTCTTTAATCCCTGCACAATGTAACGTCCACTTACAAAAAAGAAAACTGAGGTTCAAAGAAACCAGGAGACTGCCCAAGGCTACATAATTAGAAGACAGAATTGACCAATGAGTCTGCTTAAGTCAAAATCTTGTGTTGATTCTTATACCCCTCAAGTCTCCCCCGAGGAAGCCCGGAGAGAACAGAGTCCCACCTACTTAAGCTCTGGCGATGTTTCCTTCACTCTTGGTTTCCAAGGAAACAGCCCCAAGGCCCAGGTAAGCCACAGCCACCCCCAAGGTTTCTCCTGCAACCCCATCTCTACCTCCCTACACACACCTGCCATCTGAGGGCTTATTCATGAAGCTCCATTTGAGGCCAGTGGGGAAGCCAGCACCGCCACGGCCCCGCAAGCCGGATGTCTTGACCTCACCCAGGATCCAGTCAGGCCCCTTCAGCAAGATCTCCTTTGTCTTGTACCAGTCACCTCGGCTCTGAGCACCTTTCAGCCTGGACAGAGTGGGGAAGACATTGAAGGCGAGGCTCTGCTCCAGGACCACCGAGCTAAGGGCAGCATCTCACCTCCAGTCATGGCGGCCATACAGGTTGGTGAAGATCCGGTCTTCATCTTTCAGCGAGCCAAATGAGGTTTTCTTGGGTGCTGTCTGAGGACACAAAGGGTCAGGAGGCCCGACCCAGTTCTGCGGTCACAAAGGGCCAGGCCAGATGTTACAGATTCTCGGGTCCCCGTGATTAGACGGGGCTGGGCTGAAGACAGGGTAAGGGCCTACGCCTCAGAAGCCTTCGTGGCAACACAGCTACCACCATCACTTTAGTGAGCACTTCCTGCTTAGCAGGCATCAGGCTAAGCACTTTCCAACCCAAACCCCATTTCGTCCTCATAACCCCGAGACAAGAATGATTTCCTCCATTTGACAAGGGAGGAAACTGAGGCCAAGAACAAACAGCACTCATGGAAGGGCACACAACCAAAAGCTGCTGGGATCTGAACTCAGATGTGCAGGTGGTCAAAGCCCACACCTGAACCACAGCGCCATATGAACTCCCTGACCCCGGTGTGAAGTGTCCATTCATTTGCCCGGCTGCCCTGCTGGCCCAAAATTTGGTCAAACCAAGGCCTGGTACAACTAACTCTGCTGGGAACAAAATGTGTTTACTGATGCAAAAGAAGCATTTCACCGGGGCTGGGATACAAAGCTGATGGGAGACCCACTTGGGATAAAAGTGATGAAAGGCGGGGTCTGGGATTCCACATGACCCAGTGGTCAGCACCTCAGCTGAGAGCTAAGGGTACCAGGCTTCCAGACTCCCAACCCCCTAAAAGGCACTACAAGGAGCAGAGCGCTAGATGGGGCGTCAGGAGAGGCACATCCGCTCCAAAGCTTTCCTGCATCTGTAAAATGGGGCAGAGGCACCTTCAAGCTCTACAAAGCTCGGGCACGGAAACAACGAGACAGGGATGCTTCGCCACCTGCAAAATTTCCCGCTATGTCGCCCGGCTGTTAACTAAGACAAGCCAAGGAACCGGAGGGCTGGGGGAGTCAGCCTCCCACTGGGGCCGGTTCCCTTCTACATCCAGGCCGGAGCGGCAACCTTCCTGTCGGGCTGGGGAAATGAGGAGGGTTCTCTAGAAGGCACTACAGACCCAAGGGACGGCCGGCGCAGAGGCGCTGCACAGAGAGACCCGGCCCGCAGACACCCTTGGCCCGAGCCAGGCCGGGCCTCACCGTGTCGCCGCTGAAACGCACAGACACCCGCGCAGGGAGCGACCCGCTGAGCAGCCGCCGTGCCGCCAGCATCGCGGGAGACGGCTCAGTCACCTCCCACTGTCACCTTCACGGTTCCGAGCCTGAAGAACCGGCGCGACCGAGGCGCTGGGCGGCGCACAGGAAAAACGTCACGCGCCCTGGCCCGGGCTGCGCGCCCAAGGTCCCCTGCGCCGCTCTCGCCCCGCCCTCGGCCGCCCTCCCTCGCAGGAGGGCGGAGAGGCTGCTGGGAAATGTAGTCCCGTGGGCCTCGGAGCCCACCTTTCCACCGGTGCAGGTGGCGCTTACTCTCGCGCTCCTCGGCTCCGATTGTTCGCATTCGCCTCCGGACTCGAGACTTTCAAACCCTAAGTAACCAAACGTCGCGTGTCACCGTTTGCTGGGTTCTGGTGTTTCCCACTTTCTACGGGTTCTGCATTTAGTGTGCACTTGTATGTCTGGGTGTACGGCGGGAGGAGGAGAAATCAGGCAGGTTGCAGCCCGACGACCCTAATGACCGCGTTGTAATTATTCTGCCCTGGTCCAAGCCTGATGATCTCTCCCCGACCCCACTCTGGGCACCCCTGGGCTCAGGGAAGTATTGCTTATTAGCGGCAGAGAGCAGGGACCGCTCCAGAGCCAGGCAGGGGATTGTTGGTGGAGGTCTTAGGTTGGGGTGAGACCGAGAGAGTGGAAATGGTGAAGATGGGCCGGGGAGTGGCACGTCCTCTTGCCGGCGCTGCTAAGCTCGCGCGGCCATCCCTTCCTTAGCCCGTCAGTAGAGCCCGGGCCTTGGCACTCCTGCTCAAAATCTTGGGGTGGCCCCTGAGTGCCTTCACAGTCACGCCCTGGCCTAGCATTTAAGGACTCCGCCCCTCCCTCCGCAGGGTCATCAGGCCCACACCCCATCACGCACGCACCCCCTGCCCAGGACCCCTTCTTCTTGGGACCTCAGGGCCGTTTATGTGGCTGTGCTCCTCCGCCCTGAGGAGGTCACGTGTCGTTTGCCTTCCCCTCGAAGTCGCGGAAGCCTGATTAACTCTTGTCTGTATCCGTTCTCTGGGACCCTTTGGCTCTGAGACCTTGCCCTGCCCCTGTGACAAGCATGTCCTTTTTGCTCTGTCCAGCTCCTCTATTCTCTTTTCCTGTTATCATCCCTTCTGGTCTCTCCTGCTGTTTAGAAACTCATTTGCCCTTATTTTCAAAGATACTCCCCACAGCAGCCTTGGAGAGAGTTAACGTTACACGTGAAAAAAATTGAGGCCCATGCAGGTCTTCCCTCTCGTCCATGGGCATGAGGGTGCCGAGTGGTAGGGCTGGAATCAAATCAAAGCCTTTCTTTCTTTCCAGAGTGCCCCCTCCCCCCCCTCCAGCAAACGCACAGAACAACCACACGCGTGTGACCTTGACCTTCATTGAAGATGGCAGTGGTATTCCCAATAAAGGTACTAAAGCATCAGCACCTTGTCTGAGGTCTCACAGATGGGTAGGGCAGTACCAGGCCCAGGGCCCAGCGGTCCCGGCTCCCAGCCGGGGGACCCCCACTCCTGGGCAGGGAAAGAGATTGCCCAGACAGAGCTGGGGATTACACAGCTAATCCCAGCCTCCGCGACCTGAGTCCATGGATCCCTCCCTATGGGGCAGGAGAAGGGGGGCAGGATGGAGCCAGAGGGTGGATTCCTTCCCCATCCCTAACTGGGTCAAGGGAACACAAGGCCACGGGGAGAAGGCCGCCTGGGGATGCCGTGGACGGGAGATGGTGGGGCATGGGATGATGAGAAACTGAGAGTGAGGAGCAGGGTCTCCTGTTCATCCAGCACCAGGCTCTGTGCCAAGCACTTGCCATGTGTTATCTCCTTAATCCTCCCACAACCCAGAGCGTAGGAATGATGAACCCCTGTTTGCAAAAGAGGACACAATGTATTAACAACGCACAGTGGCCTGCCCCGGGCAGCACAGCTGCCAGAACTCAGCCTGAGGGTTCCTGACCTGAGATCCCCCACTCAGTCCCCACCCATCCAGAGCACCTACTTGCCAGGCTCCCGTCAGTGTCACCTCCCAGAGAGCCCTCCTCTGAGGCATCCCAGGCCCCGGCCGTCCCCTCTCCCTCCGCACCTGTCCCGTCCTATGCCACTTTCTCGCATCTGCCTCCCCAACCAGCCTCCAAACCAGAAGCCATTGCTGTGTTGGGCTAACTTTGCCTTCCAAATGCTCCTTGTTCCTGTGCCCTCCTGCCCATCCCATGTCCATGAGCGGGGTTCGCTTTATAGCCGGAATTTTGCAAAGCTTCCTTGAGGTCTCCCAGCCTCCCATCTCGACCCCTCCGATTCCTTCTCTGCACCACGGGGTGAGTGGGATTGAACCTCAGATCCATGTTGCCTCTCCTTTGCCTGAGACCACCGAGGGGTGGTTCCCCGGTGTCCTCAGGACAAAGCCCAAGCCTCCTGGCCTGGCATTCAAGATCAGGTGCTGACTTCTCCGGCTCCAGCCCAGATTCTCCCCACACAGAGGATCTCTCTGATTTCCACCAGAGGATCCGTCTTCCTTGCGTTCTCCTCCTGAGGAGCCCTTTGAATGTCACCTCCCACCATCTCTAGGAACCTTGCCACAGGTCCTTTGTGACAACGGCACGATCAGATCTTCTCTCTTCTCCACCCCACAGCACAGAGCTTCTCAAGGGAGGTGCTTACTCCATATTGTAATCCAGTTTTGTAATTGGAAAATGAAAAAAAAAAAATCAACGTCTTTCCTGTTGGGAATTTAACATGGAAAAGCAAAAAGAAAGGAGTAATATGTTTTCACCACCCTGACTTAAAACCCACTATCGTGTTTCCTTATTTGTTCCCACTCTGTTTTCTAGGTGATTTGAAAACACTTCACAAGCATTTGATCCTTAAAAATGGGGGCGCCTGGGTGGCGCAGTCGGTTAAGCGTCCGACTTCAGCCAGGTCACGATCTCGCGGTCCGTGAGTTCGAGCCCCGCGTCGGGCTCTGGGCTGATGGCTCGGAGCCTGGAGCCTGTTTCCGATTCTGTGTCTCCCTCTCTCTCTGCCCCTCCCCCGTTCATGCTCTGTCTCTCTCTGTCCCAAAAATAAATAAACGTTGAAAAAAAAAATTTTTTTAAATGTAGACCTTAACAGGAAAAAAAAAAACAAACAAACCCACAAAAGTCCTTCCGCCTCAGAGCTAAATGTTTGAGTCCAATAATATCTTCCAATCCTTTAAAGAAAAAAAAATGCCTTGGGGCGCCTGGGTGGCTCAGTCAGTTAAGCAACTGACTTCGGCTCAGGTCATGATCTCACGGTTCATGGGTTCAAGCCCTGCATCAGGCTCTGTGCTGACAGCTCGGAGCCTGGAGCCTGCTTCCGATTCTGTGTCTCCCTCTCTCTCGGCCCCTCCCCCATTTGTGCTCTGTCTCTGTCTCTCTCTCTCTCAAAAATAAATAAAATGTAAAAAAAGAAAAATTAAAAAAAAAAAGAAAAAGAAAAAAATGCCTTTACTTGTATATGCATTTACCTACAGGAACAATACGAGTGTTTCGTGCTTTCGTACATGTAGTCATGAATCTTGCTAGATCACGGTTTTTCACCTTGCTTTTTTGCATTCAAGACGCTATGTTTTTGAGATTAATCCATATGGATACAAATAGGTTTAGAAACATGATTACCTACAGGTAACACCAGAGCTTCAAGGTTAAGGACCTGGATTCAAAATCCTGCTTTCGCCACTTACTACCTGTGTGATTTTATGACCCGTGCCTCAGTTTCCCCTAACGGGAAATTAGGAGAAGCTGTGCCCTCAAGGAGCATCTGTTGGAATGGAGAACAGCAAATGAGCAGCGCCTGACACACAGCAAATGCCCGAAGAACGTTTAACTAAATGCCCTGGATTATAGATTCATTTGGACAAGATCCCCATCCTTACAATACTGGGTCTCCCCACCCAGGAGTGTGAGGTCCCTCCTCATTTTTTCAGATCTTGTAGGTTCCTTGCTAAACGTATGGCACTTTTTCTTTAAAAACGGTGCACATTTTTTAACATAGGAATTCTATGTGATGTCTTGCACTTTTACGTTTTGTGACCTCTGTTTTAATAACATTTTCTCATTGGTGTGAATAGAGCACCATCAATTTGCCTGATTAGTGCTGATCTGGACCCCTTAATGGACTCTCCTGTTATATAAAAGTTTGTCCGGGGGCGCCTGGGTGGCTCAGGCGGTTAAGTGTCCGACTCGATTTCGGCTCAGGTCACGATCTCACGGTCGGTGAGTTCAAGCCCCATATCGGGTTCCGTGCTGACAATGTGGAGCCTGCTTGGGTTTCTCTCTCTCTCCCTCTCTCTGCCCCTCCCTGGCTTGTGCCCTCTCCACCCTCACTCTTGCTCTTAAAATAAATAAATACATAAGCTTAAAAAAAAAAAAAACAGTCTCAGATAAAGCTGGAGGCTCAAAACCTTCACAAGAGTATCTGCCTAGGCTTTTCTCTGATATTTGTATTGCCTTCTACTTACAACGTCTTCTTCTCCAAACAATGGAAGGGGTCTTTCTGCGGCAGGCAGAGGAATGACCTTTAACCTCCAAGTAGCTTGCTAACACACTAAGGGTATGGAATGTCCAGGCAATAAAATTTGAGTTGCCCTCCCAGATCTGGGCGTGGCTTGGTTTGTTGCCCAGGGGCACCTTGGAAATGGGCTGCCCTCCCATCAGGCAGGAAGGGAAAACATCCAGAGGACTCTGGCCTATTTATCTTGAGACAGCGCCTAAGTGTGACGATTGTCATGGCACCCTGTAAGTAGGAGGTTTGCCAAGGCCTTTGGTGGAGTCCTTGAGCATATTAAGAAAACTCCCTTGCAAGGCCCAGTTTTATCATGCATGAATGGGGTGCTCGGTTTCACTGAATACTTCTACATCTCAGATGTTATATTGTTTTTCTTCCTTCTGCATTGCATCAATCCTTTTTCTAATCTGTTAAACTATGTTTGACCTAAAGGTGTGGTGGAGTGAGGCAGCTAGAACAGATTGTAGCCACTTGGGATTAAATCTTGGGCTCTCCTGCCTACCAGCTGTGTGGCCTTGGGCAAGTTCCTTGACATCTCTGTACCTCATAGTATCATTGTAATGGTTACATGTTTTAATCTCCATAAAACCTTACGTGGTGCTGTGTGTCTACTGTTCTCGTGCTTTTATTACTCCAGGGACAAACCTTTTGGTCATGCGTTCTGTTCTTTCACTGTAATGCTGGCTCGGGTTTTACATCAGTGCTCATAAAGGAGGGTGGCCTATAGTTACATTTCCTCCAGGAAATCTTGTCCAGTTCTCTTAAAAGTGGATCGCTTTCGGGGCACCTGGCTGGCTCAGTTAGTTAAGTGTCCGACTTTGGCTCAGGTCATGATCTTGCAGTTCGTGGGTTCAAGTCCCCTGTCAGGCTCTGTGCTGACAGCTCAGAGCCTGGAGCCTGCTTCAGATTCTGTGTCTCCCTCTTTTTCTGCCCCTCCTCTGCTAGCTCTCTCTCTCTCTCTCTCTCTCTCTCTCTCTCTCTCTCAAAAATAAACATTTTTTAAAAACATCTAATTAAATTTCATTTTGTTTTATTTTAACCCAATTAGCCTCTGCCTTTTAAAAAGTTTGACCCATTTACGTTTATTGGTATTACAATATTATATTGTGTTTTCTACTTAGCATTCTTTCTCTTTATTTCTTTTTCACTCTCTTTTTTGGTTTTCTGCTGAATTAACTGTGTTTTCTTTGTGCCATTTCCTTCTCCACTCTTGTTTTGGAAGTTACGCATTTTGTTTCTATTTTTAGCAGTTCCCCTTGCATTTTTAACAGTCATACATAAATTTCTTTTTCAGGAAATGCTAATTAAGAGTCTATCCTGCTGAGTATGAAACTAAAACAAAAACAGAGTATACTGCCTCCCTCTGTGCATGCCTCCCTCCCAAATTCTGTCCTTCTGTTTTCTGGGTTGGCTCCATTTGTGACCTGGCGTTATGGGTCCCCTGCTTTGTGCTGCCAGTGGAGACCTGGCCTCAGTCATGGGGACCTCTAAGCTTTGTTCTCCAGGGCTGAGTACAGACTGAGGACCTGGCCCCAAGCCCTGTGCGTTCAGCCTGCTGTATTCCTGGCTGAGATACAAGCCTTCAGCCCCCCCACCCCCACCCCCCCCGCTAGACTACACGCTTCTTCTTGTTCATTTGTTGTTTTTGTTGCTTTTCCTTCAGAGGTTTACTTCAAGCCTACACAGAATTCCCTTTTTGTATCTGTGTGGCGTTCAACTATTAACATTTTTTTTCTCCTCTGATTTTAATGCGTTTGAGAAGGACACGATGGATTTCTGGTTGTAGTCTGCTACCTTGAACTGGCTACCTTCCTATTTTTTTCCCATTCACTTAAACTTTAGAAAGTAAAGTCGATCGGTCATGGTCAGGGGGGTACACACAGGACCAGGTCAGTGCATTTGAGGCAAGCAGCACAATTGACGACGCGTCTAACGCGGGTCTCTCTCCCTGTGCCCCAGCGTAGGATGCCTCGCATACCCTGTAGACTCTAGTTCTGACGTGAGCGAGAGCCACTCCCTGTCAGCCTGCCAATGTGTCAGGGCCCCTCTTTGGCTTCTGCTGGTTCTGAAGCACTGGACACTGCGGTCTCCCCTGTGGGGGACCCGTCAGCTCTCAGTTGGGCACAGGTCCCAAGCACCAGTACAAGCCCACCCCTCCCGGCCCCCCCCTCACAGCACACCCACGGTCAGATGCCCAGCACATAAGGTCTAGGAGTCTGGAACATCTCCATGTTGGTCGTTTGCCCACTCCACATCATCCCTTGGAGTCCTGCCTACAGCCCCTTTGTCCCCTCGCACAAAAGCTCTTGTCTCTGCTCTGCCCAGTGTAGCCCTTGATGGCTATTTGGGGTGACAGACACCAGGAAGAGTTCACACACCGCTCAAACAATCCCAAGCTTTTAGAAACATGAGACTCGTCTTCCCCATCCCTCAAGGGTTCGGTTTTTAGAAATGCTCTATCTTGTTCATCAGCAAAAAGAGAAAAAAAAAAAAAAAAAACGCCGGACATTTATTATTGGAAACAGGTTGAACCGTTCATCTTCTGTTACATGTTTTTCCTCCCGATACACAAAACTCTCGGCCACAAAGGACCTGTGGCAGGGGAGCCCTGTTGCTGCAACAGGTCGTGACACCATAGCCAGTATTTATGGTTTTTCTTCCTTCTTCGTGAATCCCACACGTTTGCCTCCAGCGAGCACCCCTGCTGCTCAGGGGGCTTTACCAGGTGGGGGGGGGGGGGCCGGACTTGATATCATGAAGATGTCATGTCTCTCCAAATTAATCTATGAAACCATTTGAATTCTAATCAAAATCCCGTCAAAGTTTTTCGTGGAACTGGGAAAACGGATGCTAAAATCTATATAGAAGAACGCAGGGTCGGGAATGGCCAGGCCAGGTTAGGAGAACAAGGCTGGGGGGAAGCTTCCCTACCAGACAGCAAGACTAATTATAAAGCTAGCAGAATCGAGAAGAGCCACCCAGTGTTTCTGAAATATGGTGCTTTATCACAGTTTGCTAGAAATTTTGCAATTTTGGTTTTGATTTCTTCTTTCACATGAGACATCTTAAGAGAGATTTATAAGGGTGCCTGGGTGGCTCGGTCGGTTAAGCGTCCAACTTCGGCTCAGATCATGATCTCACAGTTTGTGAGTTTGAGCCCCGCGTCAGACTCTGTGCTGAC